GGGAATGCTTGAAGTACACAGCTTGGTCGACTTGTGAGCATGTGAATCCTATCTTGGCGAATACCCCGGCTAACTCTTCCGCCCATTCAAATCCGGCTTGCTTCAATCCCAGCAAACTCCATTTCAACTTCAACACCTTTCTCTCATCTCCACCCTTCAAGTACCCTGGTGGCACCCACATGAAGATCTCCTCTTTAACGTCCACATAGAGGTAAGCGCTCTTTATATCAACTTGGTGGATTTCCCAATCCTGCTGGGCGGCCTCTGTCAGGATGGCGCAGATCGTTGACATGTTGGATGTGGGCTCAAAAGTGTCAAAATAATCAACGCCATATTGCTGATGCTGCCCGTTAGCTACCAACCGTGCTCACAGCTTCAATTTCTTGCCTCCGGGACCTCTCTTCGTCGCCAGGACGTAATGGCAGGGTATAAGGTTAGTGCGGGGAGGTGCGTCTACTATTTCCCATGTTCCCAGCTTCTCCAACTGACTTATCTCATAGTCTATTGCTTCTTGCCATTCAACCGCGTCTGGGCCATTGAGGGCTTGTTGGAGAGTTGGTTCGGGTTCTGCTGCAGCTGCGGCATATTCGTCCGCTAGGTCTGCTTCTGCAGGGTGGAAGACCAAGGATGCACTCTCCCCCTGGTGCAGGGTGGCATAATATCCAGGCAGAGGTTGCAAGCGGGTCGCTCTGGGTGCTGGTGGTGGTTCGAGTTGTCGAGGCGCTTTGGGCGGTGTGGAGGGTGGTTGGGGCATGATGTTCTGAACATTACTATTGGTAGGAGCTGCTGGTGGCATTCTGGACTCCCCCTTGTCTGGTACATCTGCTGCCACAGTCACACTCACCGGGCTAAAACTAATGTTTCTCTCGACCGACACTTGCCTCTTCCCTGGCCAGTATACTCGATAGGCCTTGCTCCCCTCATCCACCCCAACAAACAGTCCTTCCTCGGCCCTAGCATCCAACTTCCCTCCAGTCATTACGTGAATGAACACAGTGCATCCGAATTCGTGGGCCTGCGAGAGCGATGGACATCGTCCATGGACCAAGTCAAAAGGGGTGTGGTCCGGAATAGCACGGGAAGGTAAGTGATTCTTTAGCCAAGTGGCGTAGTTAACTGCCTCTGTCCAGAGGAAGATCGGGAGATCATGGGCAAGGAGCATAGCACGCGCTAGCTCTACAAGCATGCGGTTGAGGTGCTTGGCCACTCCATTCTGTTGTGGTGAGTCATGCACCGTTAACTGCCGCTGAATCCTCTCTTCCTTCAGGTACTTGTCAAATTCTCGACTCAAGTATTCTCCCCCACAGTCAGACCTGAGGGTCTTGATGTGCGTCCCATCGCATTGTCGCGACAACCAGGCTTCATATGCCTTGAACGTCTCTAGGGCGTCGCTCTTGTGTGCGAGGAAGCTGACCTTAGTCTGCCAAGTAAAGTCATTGGTAAAGGTCATATAATAAAGGCTACCGCCCAGGCTCTCAGTTCTGGCTGGACCCCACAGGTCCGTGTGGATGACCTCACCGTACATCTTCGCTCGACTCTCAGATTCCTTCGGGAATTGCTTATGTGTCGCTTTAGCCTTAGCACATGTGTCACAGAACTCCAGCTTGGAGTTCGGGTCTAGGTTGATGCCGTCGATCAGGCCCTTTCTTACTGCCTCTAGAACCGCGGTTTGAGAGACATGTCCTAGCATTTGGTGCAGCTCATAGATGGTAAGTTTTGCTCGTGCGATGTTAGCGTGGTGCTGATGCCGTCCAGCGACGCTATAGAGACCCGCGATCTGGGGAATGGTGGCAATAACGCTATGCTTGGGGGCAGGCGACAAAATCTTGCACATCTTGTCCTTGAAATGGACGGCTAAACCTCCCGCAGTGATCCTGTTAGTCGAGATGAGCGTGAAGGCCATCTTGGGACTATACAATGCGTCCTTGAGAGTGACCCAAGTGCGGTCTTTGCCATTTGGTAAGTCCAACATGATGTCTCCCTTGCCTATAGCGCTAATGGTGGATCCATTGACCATATGGACGTCCTGTGCCTCTATGGGGACGAACTTGGACCGATCCAGGCAGAAGTGAGATCTGGCACCTGAATCAATGATGGCGCTGTGTCGCTCTACGGGGATGTTCAATTGCTTGGCTATGCTAGCCAAGCTGGACGTTGCAAACGTGAAGTTCTCTGGTGGGGTAGGTTCAGAGGTCGCTGCATTAGCTCCCTCCTTAGGTGAACAGCTACCTTTCTTCTGGCGTTGCTGATTCGGCCCTTGGCCCTCTTTGCCCCCTCCAGGTCTCCAACAATCACTTTTGTAGTGTCCTTTATGTTTGCAGTTGAAACACGTTACATCTGCACCAGCTTGGTTCGTTCCTGAGGGCTTACGGCCCTTTCCAGGTCCGTTCTTGGCCATCAGTGCCACGTTTGACCCTTTCTTGGAGGTTTGATGGTCCGTGAGGAGATGATGCTCGTATTCCTCGCTGATGACGGTGATAAGTTCATTGGGGGTGAGTGCCTTCTGCATGATCTTTGCAGCGGCATTAATGGAGGATAGGAGGGGTCTATAGGATTCAGGGAGCGAGCCAAGTAGGGCCGAGCCCATGCCTGCCAGGGATTCGCGCAGTCTCAGGAGTTCCAAGAAATGGGCTTTGACGTCACCATTCTCTTTGCACCTTAAGTCCTGCAGCCTGCAGTGGAGGTCAATCTGGACCAACTCGGTCTTACCCTCATGGATATGGCAAATTTCCTCCCAAATCTTCGAGGCATCTTTGAGCTTCTGAACACGCAGCAAGAGACGATCTGTGATCGTGCTGAAGATTTGCTGCTTCACAAGTGAGTCCTTTTGCAAATATTCATCTATTTTCTTCTCTATCTCCTCAATCTCCGCTGGTGTAGGCATCGAGCCATCTGGCTTCTTGACGGTGCTCATCATCGGGTCGATACTATATCATACTGGTCTCGTGGCATGGCCATCTGCATGTCGCATCATACCTCTAGCACTGATCGCGGTCAACATGCGTTCCTTGTAGGTAATCCAATTGCTGCCGTCTTCGGCTAGCTTGGGGATGTTGAATAGCGCAGAAGTGTTGCTGGGGAGCGAAGATTCCATGGCCGTGTCAGGGCTCATAACCTAAAGTGAGTTCAGGCGAGCGGCGCACAAAGTGGGAGCTAGTAGAATAAATATATCTCAGGCTCTATGAAAAGACCTCAGTAAGAGCGGGTAAAGTACCTAGTAGAATAAATATCTAATGGTATGTTAGCTCTTTAGAATAACGCGAAAAATATATGAGACTAAAATGTGAATTTGTTTTTGTTTATTTACTACCTGAAGCTGGGGCTCTGTGGGAGCTGTGGCACTGGGAGCTGTGGCACTGGGGCACTGTACAGCTCTGGACAGTTCTGTACAGAACATTGTAGTTTACTGATGTATGTCATCAAAGTTGGGAAGGATGATAGCACGTTGCCATTAGTTACTCATATTGTGTACTTAGCAAAACTGTGCAACCCAATCTAGTGTCATAACTATATACCCAACATCAACGATGAGGGAGGCTTTGTCAAGGTTACAATAAGAAGCATGGCTTGCATGCAACAGCCATGTTGAGACAACATGGTAGCGCACTATCATGGCTCCACACCCTTGGACCCTTGGCAGCTTTGATCCCATGTAGTCCGGCCATATATAGCTTTATCTGACATTGGCATTCATCTAGAGATTGCAAAGGAAGAAAAGACTGCCGAAGGTTACATGCCATGACCAGGGCAGGGCAAAATTGTAGTGTATTACAAGTAGTACTCAACTAGATGACTGTGGGGTATTTTAACAACATAATATTCCTTTGTCGCGCTGGTGGGCATTACAATATATGCCATCTTGATGATGAGCTGGTAGATAATTGTAACAAAACTGTCACAAATGTGCATTTGGTGGGTTCTATCCAACTTAGTCCGGGTATTCAAAGCTTTCTCAAGCGAAGTACAATTATGATGCATATTACACAAATTGTACTTTAGATAAAGCTTTCTCAAATCTTATCATTTTCGTGTCGGTTTCCTGATGGGGTGCACAAGGGTCTCAAGGACGACCAACACAACAAGGCTCAACTGGTGGAGCGGAGGACATTGTCTATGAAGGAGTGAGCTGCTGTGGGTTTTTCTTTGGTTGTCGTTGTCCCGCCTCGCATCAGGCATGAGTTTACATCTGCTGAAACTCTGTCTGTCATCCAATGATAATTGTCTCTTTTCCCTTTCGTGTGTTTACAGGTGATCTCACACTGGCTCATGCCATCCTATGTACATTGAACATTATATTTGTCTAGATGACCCTATGGAACAATACTATCATCTCATTTCCGCATTATCCCTAATCACTGTTGTGTCACTGACTACTCCATCCCGGTGAGGCCATTTAGATTATATGCCGGTTTCTCTAATCTGGCTCCAATCTGCATCATGTCTCTTGTTCATGACCAAACTTTCTTCACCCTGCTCAGACCCCTGGTAAATGTCAGTGACACCATGTAGATGATTGACTTGGTATTATATTACATATCCCACATGCTACTCTGGCACCAATGAGTACACCTAGCAGCTTTGACCCCAGTCAATTAGTAGCACCTTCCCATGATGCATCGCGGCGATCTTATGTGTCATCGGGCGGCGGAGATCACATCTCCATTCAGTCCATCCATACTGAGCGAGTTCCCTGATTCTGCACAATATCCTGTAGGGGTAATGCATTAAGTCTGGTAACTACCAGTCAACTGTATTGCATTAATGAGGCTAGTTAGCCTGAATTGTAATGCATTAAACCAGGCTAACTATCAGAGCAGCTCCCTCCCTAGTAGGCCAGGCTTCCCATTCTCCAGCAACTACATATTCTTATTCTCCGGTGACTACATAGTATTCTTATTTTCCGGTGACTACATATTCTTATTTTCTGGCAACTAAAATACATTGGACGATCCTTCATTGAAATGAAGCTAGGCACCAAAGAGAACAGAAGGTTCATTACACTAGAGATCGGGCAGCATGAGGTCAGGGAATTGTGTGATGTTATCCAGGGGTGCGCCTGATATAAAGCTCGAGCTCAGAGGGGGCTGGGGAAGGTAAGCGGCCCACAGCAGTCTAAAGCGCGATGCGAGCCGACATCGAATGTTTGCCTGTTTGTTGGCATATGCTACCAAGCCCTCACGTTCAGCTGTCATCTCGCAGTTGCATCGGTCCTGCTGCTTATCCCACCACTCTGCTTGCCAATCTAAAAACTGCAGCACCCTTTGCATTTCCTTGTGTAACAACTCTATCTCCTCCGCCCAGCGCATTGCTCTTGCTCGGGACTTGCACCATTCCACGTGAACTCCTAGCAAAAGATTTAGATGCTATTGTCAGTGACAGCTTGTTAAAAAAAACTTACCATCCACGTCACCTCCATCACCATCTGTATCCACCCCCGTCATCATCCAGATCCACGTCAGGCGACGGCGACCTTCGGTCTCTCTGCCGAAAGGGTCCACTAGTGGCTTCACATCTTCGTCCTTCAGGTCTTGCAGCCATCCTTGTCATCGCGTCTTCTTCAAAAGAGGGGCCAAAGACTTCAGCACCTCCCAGGCGACCCTGTATCTCTTCTTGCACGTCACCTGCCGCACGTGCACACAAGCAAGTGCGTTCTGAGCACGAGTGTTGGAACCTTGACCACGGACCCATTCCCGCTTGAAGGTGAGCATAGAGCAGTGCACACGAAGGCATTGTTGAAGCTCTTCGAGCACATCGTGGGCCTGGGTGTACCACAAATCCCATTCATGCTCGCGAAGTCTGGAATTGCATGGCTTGCTTTTCAGACTAGATGGCAACCACAGTAGAGGTCAGAATCTGTACCGTAGGCATGTACAGAACCTGCACATGTCTCCATGTTTCAATCTTATGACGCAGCACATTTCTCATTCGCGTGAGCGTGCCTTTCTGTGTATCAGAAACATGGAGACCCATCCCTTCAGATGCTGCTTTCACACAATGTCTGTCTCGGGTGTTAGTTGCCTTGCATCTGGTATCTAGGTACAGCTACTTACTGCTCCTCCTCGAGGTCTAACCCTAACACAATAAGAACACTCAGGGAGATGTCAGGGTGCAGAGATAGGTTGATCCCACAAGCAAGCTCTTGTGCTTCCATCTCCACAAGTTTCAGACGGGCTGCAGCTTGCGTGATTTCTGGATAATTGATACCTCGGTAAATATAATTGAATGCTAAGACAAAAACTCACGAATTGACTTGCACTCGAGGGGATTTGTAACACATGTATTGTTTGGGTTTTCCTCCCATTTTCCATTTCGGCTGTCCACATTGACCTATGGTCTGAGGAAATCACAGCATTAAACTCCTGGAATGCAGCCTCATGATCGGCCTTCTCCATTACCGCTTCCTGCATTTTATGAATGAGAGATGCACATAATCCCTCAATTATTAACCAAACACGAATAATGAGTCAGAATAAATAACATACCTAAGCCAATGACTTTCTTCCAGTTCCAATCACCAAAATGATCATCTAAGGTGTCCCTACGACAGCCCGGTCCCATTGCCTTTGTACTTGATGTGACTGGATTGATATTGGACCAACCATGCTCGGGTGCCTCCCCATCTGTGCGGCCCACAAAATGCGTGAAATTAAAAGAGAACATCGTCTGACACTTGTTGATGTGTGCCGAAAGGTGGAACTTGGGGATGAAGAAGCGGATAAAAACATGTAAGTAGGAAATGTGGTGCGATTTGGGTAGCGACTCCATGCGACTCCATAAGTTTTTGTGCCATTGAAATGCGATGTCATAGGACACATTCAGAGTGTTGAGACAGTTATCATGGAGTGTGGAGAAGAAAAGGTAGTCCATGTTAACATACCTAAAAATTCAATACATTAGAGTGGCTTCAACAAGTGTGACATATGTACTTTTCTCCTTTTTGTAGGTCCCCAACACCATTTGGGTGCTTGAAATTATGTCGTGCGCAATCAACTGTCCCTACTCCAGTAGCCGCAAGACCCTGCGATAGCTTCGTCTCGGCCACATTCACAGCATTGTGGTTCGAGCAAGAACTTTTCTGCGAAGGTACCTTCAGCGATATGTTGTGATAGGTTAAACTGTGTCCATACCTCCTGCGTCTCAGACAAATGCTCCTTGAGGTGGGTTTTGAACTTCTTCTCTTCTACAAAGTATGACCATCCCATCGAGAGGCTTGGGTCTGCTTCATCAGTAGAAATAGCTTGTCTTTTCAAGCGAAAATTGGCGTCGATAGCTATAAACAACGAATACAGCCATCTGAGCATGATAAACACATAATTTGGTTCACATATGGTGAGTCTTACCGTTTGGCGTTTGGCCCTTCTTTCCAGTCAGAGGGCAGGTTCTTGCCAGGTTGTGGGCAAGCTGGACAGAGGACGGCACATTCACCCTCTTTGGTACCACTCACACCAGCTGGATTGTGACCGCGACCAAACCGTTTCAACATCTTTAGGTGTCGCCACTCACGAACCATACGCATGAAGGGTTTATAGCGATCATGAAGGGTTTATAATCAAAAACCATACGCATGAAGGGTTTATAATCAAACCAGTATTGTCGGATATATGAACCAGTGAGTGATAGAATTCATATGTGGAGGCCTTGGACTCGAAAGAGAGAATCTGGTAATGCTGCAAGACTCGGAAAGTTGCCGCAGTCCTTGGATCTACAGTCGTCGAGGGGAACCAGCCCATGCGCAAGAGCTGCCTGGTATGTGTCTGAGATGTTTCACGGGCACAGAAGTCGATTGCTATCTCATGTATTCCATTGGTGTCAATTAGCACGAAGTCGTCGTTAAATGCCTTGCGAGGCAGAATACAGTTTTTGCCAATTGCATGCCCTAACTGAATCCTCAGACCAAGCTTCTTAAGTGACATAGCCCGGAAAAATGAGCCTGACCACTCCTAAAGTGAATTAGATGCCGACTCAACCACTCAGAGTGAATTCAAACAGACCTTGATGCAGTGAGTGGGGCTCTGCAAATGGTTGATGACAATGCAGTTCTGACAGTATAGCTGCATGTCACAACAGTCATTGCATCGGAACTGAGCAAGAGCAGAGACATTGCATTGGCAGCAACTATCTGAGGTGTAGTCACCTTGGCCGTCCAACCGAATGAGTTCGGCCAGATAGTAGTCATGATCGCCTAGCCACATTAGAAGGGGGTTATCCTGAAGGTAGAGTTAGTGAAGTAAACTAAACGATCAACAAATTCTTACAGCTGCAGTGCGTCTCCGCTTAGCAGGCACTGGAGTGTCATCAGTCATGGCCACATCATCCATATATCCAAAATCTATGTCATCCCCGATGAAATTGTCACTGAAGTCTTGATAAGATGCTTCAGGTTGAAGCTGGACACTGCCTGATGGTAGTGCACCTGTAATGTAACGGCGCGAAGCCTTCATACTGCCTTTATGGCATGATGAGAAAGTCACTGAGGTGTAGATGTGAAGACTGGACTGCGGAGTATATGGATGCAAACATGGGCGTTTGCAATGGTTGTTAGCCTGTTTGAAAGTTATTCCAAGGTCCCCAGTGGACGTTGGTGGCATCATCTGCGCCAATGAGCTAGAGCTTAGGAACACTGTTATCCTGCAGGCATAGAAATAACACCCAATACCCAACACACCTTCACAATCAACATGATTCTCAATACTATAGCCCAACGACTCAACGAGTCAATGGGTAAACAAACCACTACAGTTGGAGAATCATGTATGCAATAACGGCAGATGCAAGTCGAGTGACTACAACCACAATATGTAAGCTGAACCTGCTCAGATTCAAACAAACTCCCATGATGCCACGATCTCAGCTTCCCCCTGCTCAATGGCCTTCCTAACTTTTTCCTTGCCCAGGGCAACAGAATCTACTTCCTGACACAGTGCACCATTGACACCCAAAACAGCATTCAATGTGGTCTCCCTAGTGTAAATATAAATGCACAAATATATCTAATATCGCAAAATAGTACTCACCAGCTGGAAAAGACACCAATAAAGTGGCCACATGTGACATAGAAGAAAGGCGGGCCCTCAGCAGGGCGCTTGCCAGGAGCTGGGATATTATAATACACGCCCAAGTATTGATGGAGGAAGCATTCATCCGCCATTGCATTAGCAGCTGCCTGAAAGCCAGGACCGCCTTCGTAAATTACAGAGACATCAGATTGTGCTGCAGTAGAGGGGGCATTATCGATCAACATAATCAGACACATTGTGGAACTGAACTGACCATAGAGTTATGATACCATTGTTATATGGTGGCGAATATCAGACTACGACATCGCCAGAAGTCGGCGGTTCAACAGTATTCATTGAAATAGAAATCGGGTTGCTGCAGAACGAGCATTTAGAATTCGAAGAAGGATAGAGAAGGACATGACGTCGAAAAAAGGCATGCCAAATAGTGAAATGGATTTCATACTCCGCCTCAAATCTGGATTAGGAAATTCCTAAGTGTTCACCAATAGAGTCGGATAGATTCACCACCTTCTCATTCAACACAACAGTCAGATATAATAGAGGGTGAGTTGTGACACTTCTAGCATTGAATATCCCAGCGATGACCTCCTCCAGCACTGATAATACAGTGCCCGCGGCGTCCATTGGTGGTCTTCAGGTTCAAGCGCTGGTATGTCAACAGCCGTATTATCGTGCCTTTTCTAATAGTTGTTTCAGATTCGCTTTCTGCACTCTTTTCGCAGTTGAACGTCAGTGGCACCAGTACTGTCACATTGACTTCTGCCCTCTATGAGGTTGTGCAAAATGCAGTTATCACTGCTCTTCAAGAAGTGGCCACAGCTTCTACTGGAGCTCCTGCTTTAGCAGGACCCTCCGCTCCTGCGATACCTGCTACCCTGACCAATACTGTCCCTACTGCTACTGCATTTCAGACGACCAATATGGTTACTACTCCGGCCAATACTGCCGCACTTCCAGTGAGGACTCACTGTGGTGTGACGTACCATGTTCCTCGCCCAGATGCCTCCAGCCCTTTCTACTGGGTCAACTGTGGCTGTCATATTGGCATTTTCGCGACTTGGTAAGTGTTATTTCCACCTCGAGACTTTCTTCTGATTAGCATTGCAGGCAGGGAGCATCTACCCATGTAACCGGAGTGAGCCGCTCATCCTTTTCCAGAGTTCACTCGGTTGCCGAGGGTATTAGATTGATCACGGAGGCAATTGACTGCAGGGAGACTGAGATTATTCCTTAAATAAGCACCGCGCAATCCGTAAATGTTTGTACCATGAATGATTGGATCTTACAATTGGCAAATCATCGGCGAATCACAAATATTTTTGGCATACTCACAGATGAAAACCAGGCTACTGATCTTTGTAGTTCTGGTACAACAACTCTCCCTGGGAATGAGCTTCTGCTAACCCAGAATCGCCGTCACTAAGTGTAAGACAATAGATATCTTCCACCATAGCGATGGTGTCCCTCATTCACCAACATACTTGATCTGCTGCGCGCCACTCGTCATTAACTCCACATAGTTGCAGAATACCATCTTGCCCTCGACTGGCCCTGTCAAGGAAATCTTCAATGCTTGACATGGCGTCCTTGAGGATTTCTCTATCTCTGTGGCTTACAGGAGTGTCTGGGATGGACTTGGTGTATTTAGCTAAGACACCGATAATGAACGTTTGCGGAGATTTGATGTGCTGCATGAAGTCATCCTTGGCGAGTTTAACCACGGCAATGCAATCAGACAGTGTGTGGCTGTTGGTATCAAATGGTTTTCAAACACCTCCTCGACAACAATATTAGCACTAACATTGGTTTGTTGTTGTCGTCTGAATGGTTATTATCATCGTCACAGGTGTTCCTGTCTTTGCATAACTGCCTGCATTTCGCCAAAATAGCAACATTAGCACTAACATTGGTTTGTCATCGTCATCTGAATGGTTATTATCATCGTCATGGGTGTTCCTGTCTTTGCGTAACTGCCTGCGTTTCGCCAAAATAGCATCACGGCACCTAGGTCATTGATCAGAAATATTCGGGTGCTAGCTGCAAATGTTGCGTACTTTTTGTAGTAGCGACGGTGCTTGGCCCTCTCAGCTTGTAGTTTAGCTGTATGGGTTTTGTATTTAATTGGAGGTGCCATGATAGTGCTCATTGTAAGGAAAAAAGTGTGCTCACACTATTTGGTCCCACTGGGAGGTGCTTCCATGGTGCTTCCATCATGCTTCGATTGGTCGGACTGTATTGATCACAGTACATACTGAAAGCCTTACCATGGGCTCATAATGCTAAGCGGCTGGGGATAGGTTTAACCTGAGTGCGTGGTGTGAACGATGTGCATCACACCCTCATACCTTTGTAAGATGGATAGTAAAAATTTAATTTGATCTGTACGTAGGTTGGACCTTATGAGACGGTCGGACCTTGATAGCTGCAGATAAATAATCCCATGTACGGTAAAGCAATATTGGACTCCACTCACCAGTGCACAAACCAATACCAAAACCAATACCATCACTATTGACATATAGTGCATTCTTCGAAAGACTGGTTCTTGAAGCTTGACTGCATCAGGAAAAACTATATCTCTATATAGAGGACCATCCTCTATATAGCCCCGATAGCACACCACAGCTCTATACAGTCTATGGCAAGCTATCACAGCACTATAGACCAGTATAGACATCATGAAAGTCTATATATTACCATAAAGTTTGGTAAGTATATTTAGAAGTAAAACATTTCAACAACTATAGACCCCAGTATACCGTGGGAACTTTTTTCGATGAAAACCAAAGTTGTAGTCCTTGTCTAGGGAAGTCTATCCATAGTCTTATGACTTCAATAGGTTAAGATCCTAGTGAGTTATAAGGAAAATACTCGAAATTGAAGGGTTCAAGAAAGCAACTTGACCATGGGAACTTTTTTCGATTAAATCAAAGTTGTAGTCCTTGTCAAGGGAAGTCTACCCATGGTCTAATGACTTCAATAAGTCAAGATCTTAGTGAGTTATAAGGAAAATACTTGGAATTGAAGGGTTCAAAAGTGTTAAGGTACACCTTATTTATGTAAGCAAAAATGCGAAAATTCACCTTATGTGTATTCAAAATCCTAATGCTAACAGTCAATTTCATTGTCTTTTTCTTACTGTCATAATCCTAGTCCTATTAACCAAAAACTCGAAAATTCACCAAGTCTTGTGTTGTGGCTTTGTTTGGCACTGCTTATGTAAGCAAAAATGCGGTCAACCAACAAGTCTTTTCCCATTCTTTCCTTCCCCCCACTGCCCCCTCATTAGATTATCTTCCATATTTTTCTTACAATTTTCGAGTTTTTGCCTCTCTTCTCTTCTTCTTGCTTCTCTATCCTTCTCTTGGTGTTGATGTTGTTGGTGCTGGTACTGGTGCTGGTGCTTTGAACTCTGGTAAGTCTCCCTCCATAATTTTCGCATTTTTGACTATTTGACTAATCTTTTTTCTAACTCTCTCCTTCTAGCTCTCTTCCCTCCTGCTCCTCCTCCCCCCAACTATTTTCGCATTTTTGACCATTTGGCAAGTCTTTTCTCTGACTCTCACTTCCTCCTGTCTGATCCTCTCCTTCTAGCTCCCTTCCCTCCTCTTCCCTCAAGAATTTTCGCAATTTTCACTATTTGGTAAGTCTTTCTTTTTTTTGTATTCATCTTTCCTCTCTGATTCTTCCTTCTAGTTCTCTTGCCTCTTCCTCCTGTAATTTTCGCATTTTTGCCTGTTTTGTAGTTATTAGTTTACATGTATTGTAGTAGTTGAAATATAATTTGGAATTTTCGCTTTTTTTTAATTTTGAGAACACTATCATGGCAACAAACAGCTATTAAGAGAAATTTTTGCTTTGTGTTTTGAGCTATAATAGCTACAATAGTTGTGGTATGTTCCACCCAGCTATAGCAACTTTAATAGAGCTATATAGCACTATACACTGGTGTAGTAAGCCTGCACAATTGGGCACTTGGCTATACGAGCTATAGCGCTATGGGTGGCTATATAGCCTTACCACATTTTCCTGATGTGGTGGCCGATATCACTGGGTATTCTGTCCTTAGAGGTGCGCACAGTAGGACCGTATCAATTCATTGATGACATCATTTGTAAGTTACAACATGAGTTAATGTTAATGTTCATCCCGCACGCCACTGAACTTCAACATTTGATATATTTGAACTTAACTTCAACTATGTCCAGGCTGGAGTCCGGATATTCTGTCCTTAAAGGTACACACAGTAGGACCGTATCAATTCATTGATGACATCATTTGTAAGCGTTCATGGACCAACTACCTTCAATCTGGGTGAAGTATTGCCTTCCTGCGCTTCTGCTGATCTTTTCCCGAAGATTTGGAACTCAAAGCACTTAGCACGGGCCTACTGTGTATGTGGTTGGTTTTTCTACTGCTCTCCACTCATACTTCTACTTGTTGGCACTGTTAGGTACCGTGCCAACTCAGGAAGCAGAGGGGTCGGGGCTTGGCTTCAGCTCTTGCGCTGCACCCTTAGCTGAGTACGTGCCCCAAATTTGGAGCAGGTCCGACGTTGGCCAATGGTAGGACAAGTGGTCCGCTTTGGTCCGCTTTGAGGGTTGGGGAGTAAGAGCTACTAGCGGTGGGCTGACTAGGGGTGGAGTGGAGAAGGCAGGGAGTGATGCGGAGGGTGGATAGGAGCAGGGGGAATGTTTGGTAGGGGCGGGAAAGGCGGAGGATAATGTGGAGGGACAAGGGAGAATAGTTGATGGGGGCGGAGTATAAGGGAAAGACTTAGAGCACAGCTCTAAGTCGGAGCGGAGGGTTGGAGGGTCGGAGGTGACAACAAGTTGAGACTTGTGTCCAGAGGAGGCAAGGTCCTACTGAGAATTCTCACAAGATGTAACTGCGAGAAGACAAGTAATATTAAGACTAAGGAAAATATCTAAGTACAGGATATGTTATATACTTTTATGTATGAGGCAGTGATCAGGATAACTATGTAGTAAACCTATGTACCAAGGATATAGTTTGTAAGTATTTTACATAGGCGAAGACATAAGTCGGAGCGGATATCAATATGTACACATCGGATCAGTGATTGAGCGGTAATAGGAATTACCGGTGATCCGGAAGTAAGGGTCTATGTACCAAAGGGGAAAGTATATATCTAAAAGGGGAAAGAAATCCAGTTGAATGGAGAGGTTATGGAAGGGGACCGGTTGAGCGGTTGAGTGGAAGTGTAGGGTGGAATGCAGACTTGTGATCAGATGGAGCAGAGGATGGATGGAGTGGAGGGGTTGGAAAGTGGAGTGGATATCAATATTGGAGCGGTCAGATCAGGTATATGACAGGTGCCATCTATTCGGTTCGCTGGGTTTCAGCACTTGATCCGCAGACATACCCCAATCAGCCATAGCTATGCAACGACTGGGTGGCAATAATGCTAACAACTTGACGTCACAAAGTCAACATGCAGGGGTGGTGCAAGGGTCTCAAGGACACCCAACACAAATGCAGGGCTTGACTGGTGGGGCAGGGGAAACTTCCTACGAAGTGAGCTGTTGCGGTTGTTCGACATGAGGGGATTGAAAAGAAGTTTTCAAACATACCCTCTAGGGGAGTTAGAGCATCGTAAAATAGCATAGTCAATATCATGGCCTGTAATACAGAGATCAGTTGCAACTTGCCTTGCTGAGCAATAAACCCCTGATGTTGATAGCTGAAGTTGCTGACACACCACATCTGCAACCTAGGTGTGGAGCTGTATAATGTAGATTGGAGACGATCACCTGAAAATCAACGACAGTTGAGCCTGGACTCACTACAACCTGAGGATTATGCATAGGCTGTCATATCCTCAGTTTATAGTGAGTGTAGACTCCGGCATCCTACCCAGACTTGGGAATATCTTGAGAGTGACCCTCCTCACGGATCAACAATGTCCTGCGACATAAAGTTGGCACATTCGTTTATGTCATATCCCGTACCTCTGGATCTGGAATTCCAGAACCCCACCACTAAAGTCCGGTCCTCCGTCCTGTTATTTTGCCCGGCGCTCCACTCTCATCTCCAGACTCACCCCTATCTCCTTTTAGAATAGCTATTGCTCCGGTTATCAGTTATGTCCTTTCTGCTATGCTTACTGATCCATCCATTCTTACTTCATTTCCGACTTCACTGCTTTGATCTGTTACATGAGCCCCTTCAGTAACTTTGGCCCGTGTTACACGGCCACCCAAAGTTGAGATTCTTCCGAGTGACACAGCCATACAAGGTGGGCCCAGGTGCAAGATGGGGCCAATAGGGACGGGTGGGCCCATGGTATTTAGTGGTCTCGATATTTATGGCTTGGCCCATGGGTAACAACTAAGAAGGCCCATACAGTGGGATTAGATATTGATGACTGGCCCAGGGTGGTGATGTAGAATTGACGGTCGGGCCCATATTGTGGTATAGAATATGACGGCCGGGCCCATATGTCGGTGCAGAATTTGACCACTGGGCTTTGTGTGGTGATATAGAATCGACGGTTGGGCCCATATGTCGGTGGAGCATTTCATGATCGGGCCCAGGGTAACCAGGTTATGTAGGATGGACAGTCGGGTCCATACAATGGTGTAAAATACAACGACCGGGCCCGGGGGTGATATAGAATTGATGGTCTGGCCCATATGTTGGTGCAGAATTTGACGACCAGGCTTCGTGTGGTGATATAGAATCGACGGTCAGGCCCATATGGTGGTATAGAATGTGATGGCCGGGCCCAGGGTGGTGATGTAGGATGAACAGTCGGGCCCATACAATGGTGTAAAATATGACGACCGGGCCCAGGGGATGATGTAGAATTGACGGTCAGGCCCATATGTCGGTACAGAATTTGATGACCAGGCCTTGTGTGGTGATATAGAATCGACAGCCGGGCCCATATGGTGGTATAGAATATGACGGCCGGGCCCAGGGTGGTGATGTAGAATTGATGATTGGGCCCATATGTTGGTGGAGCATTTGATGATCGGGCCCAGGGTGGTTATGTATGATGGATAGCTGGGCCCATACAATGGTATAAAATACGACGACTGGGCCCCAGGTGGTTGTGTAGGATGGACAGCTGGGCCCATACAATGGAATAAAATATGCCGACCGGGACCAGGGGGTGATGTAGGATAATCGACGACCGGGCCCATATGGTGGTATAGAATATGACGGCTGGGCCCAGGGTGGTGATGTAGAATTGATGAGTGGGCCCATATGTCGGTGGAGCATTTGACGATCGGGCCCAGGGTGGTTATGTAGGATGGATAGCCAGGCCCATACAGTGGTATAAAATATGACGACCGGGCCCCGGGTGGTTGTGTAGGATGGACAGCCAGGCCCATACAATGGAATAAAATATGCCAACCAGGCCCAGGGGGTGATGTAGGATGGACAACCGGGCCCATACAGCTGTATAAAATATGATGACTGGGCCCCGGGTGGTGATGTAGAATCGGGCCCATATGTTGTTATAAAATTTGACGACCGGGCCCAGGGTGGTGATGTGGATCTGAAGAGAGCATTCGGCGACCGGGCCTAGGGCAGTATAATGTAGAAGGGATGGTTGGGCTCATATAATAGTATAGAATTCAACACCCGGGCCTAGGGTAGTGGCGTCAAATTGATGGTTGGGGCAATATGGTTGGGTGCATCTTGATGATTAGGCCTGGGTTGGGCATGTGCCAGTGATGACCGGGCCATATTGTGGTATAGAATGTGACGACTGGGCTCAGGGTGGGGATGTAGAATTAAAGGCCGGAATTTGACGACCGGGCCCACACAGCGGTATAAAGTAGGCTGACTGGGACCAGGGTGGTGTGGAATACTTACAGTCGGTCCTCCGTTGTCCAGGTTCAAATGAAGTAAGGCCCTGTCAAGTGTCTTCACAAGAATGATTGTATTAAAGGTGCAGTAATGCATTCAATTGACATATTTCTGGTAGGTGTTGGTGTTGGTATGTAAGGAGTGATGTGAAAGGACCCGGATATCTTAATATTGTGAAGAATGGGGGTGGGGTAGTATGAAGCCAGGAAGGGGGTCTACAGGTTGCCATACATAAGAAATCGGCCTAGTTGTACTTGGGTGCCTGGTATGTATTGAGGACGACCGTTGGTATGTAAGGAGTGATGTGAAAAGACAAGACATCTTAATATTATAAAGAATGGGGGTGGGGTGGGGTGAGGCCGGGAAAGGGATCTACTGGTTGCCATACACAACAAAATCAGCCTGGTTGTACTTGGCCAACTGGTATGCATGGAGGTCGACCAGATTATATGTGGCATAATCCGGGTGGGGGGTTCTGGCATAGTTGTGCACACTATCCCAGAGGAACCAAGCCCATACCATCTGATCTCCCTCGTCAATGCAGATGCCATGTCTGACTAGGTGGCCGGAATAGCTCACCATGACGCCTGGGTTGTATACCAGCTCGATTCCAAGGTTGGTCAACTGCATGACAGCGTGTGGGTAGCTCCTGATGCAAGTCAATATGTCGAATGCCTCAGGCGGACACTTCGGGTCTCTGTGGTCGGGGGACTGACGGTTGCACATGACAGCGGCACCGGTGTAGACGGAAGCCCAATGCTTAAGCAAACGATGCATGTCATGCAAGCCTTGCTCCTCCGACCAACGACTGAGTTCGATATGAGTCCTCACGGAAGCCCAGTAAAGCTTAGGGTGCATGACACGCAAGGCGGCAGGTGCAAGGAGGGCGGGTCTCTGCATATCCATGATCATGGACAGGCTCCTGTCGCCCTTCAAGGAGGCAGAGACCTCCGGTTTGAACCTGTCATCCGGATCATTGGGAGGAGGGCCATAGCACTGCCCCGTGTGAATAACTGTCGACGATCGGACAGCCGGACTCACCTCATATCCTTGTTGGAACCAGCAAGGTGTTATGTTGATGCATCCAGGAGTCAAGGCAGGATCCTCGGGAGGTCGGAAGTTGGACTGCCGGGTCCTCCAATTAGCTGATTCCTTGTTGATGACGCTCTTCTTGAGTAGATCACCCATGGCGAGGGTGGCCATGTACATGTCGTTCTATTGGGATCTCGGTCAACTACTTTGGAAGGATAGTTTTGTGTGAGGAACTCGCCTGCACCCAGGGACTCAGGGCATTGGGGATGTACCAGAGAATGATCCTGTGGCCGGAATTGATTACTACCGAAGGGCGGTCCAAGAGCATCTTCTCGGGCGGAGGGAACCTTGCCAACAACTCCTCTTCTCGGGCATCTTTCATACTGGATTCTTGTTTTGCAAGCGCCTCATTGTACCGGATGACATCAATGTCCAATTTGACTGAGTTTGGGGGATCCATAAGCGAGGGGGGTACCGGAGAAGACACACGGACTTACTTGGGTGTCGATACACCTCGGCCATGAGCCAGGCAAGCTGACCGCATGATAGCAATGTGGTGACGTCCATCCCGGGTGGAGGGTCCACCAAGGATCCGCCGGCTATGTGGGCAAGGAATTGTTGCTCGACCCATTCACTGGCGCAGTTTGTGGCATTCAAGGCCCAGTCTTTGGGTATCACAGGCATCAGGTTCATGCCATTCCTGAGGAAGGCAATGTGGCTGGCATAAGATGATATGATGTGGGACATGATAGGCGGGGTGAACGAGATGGCGGGTGATGGATGTCGCTCAATTTTATTGACATGTCAACCGAGCCTCGTGGGTCCGGTGATGCCGAAGGATGTAAAATCAGGGGATGTAATAGCGCGCATGTTCAGGGGCCGAGCGCATGGTGGCAAGGCCAAGGGAGATCTTGTGGATCTGTAATGAAAGAAGCATGGCACATGGTCGTGCTAAGTACTGCTCCGTAGGCTCACTGATATTCGCCTGGCTCCTGCATCGCCTGGGTCCCATCTAACAACTGCTGTGATGCCGTGATGGCATCATGGAGGTCGTCCACCGGACCCTCGAGGGTGGTCATGGCCTCCAAGGCAACATTTGCATCTTCCATCTTCCTGGAGAGCCATTGCTCGAGCTGAGCACCGAGATCTCCGAGATTGTCTTTGATGACCCGGAGATTGGTCAACATGGGGTCCTGACTGACATCATGCCTGCGCATCTCCAGCAGCAGCAAATATGCGGCTGGCTGATGGAATTGTTAGCGTGGGATAATAGGCGAATATCAGGAGTTGGATAAAGGGAAGGGACTCACAAGCTGTTGCATGTGGCGTTTATACAATCAGATGACTTCTTCCACTGGGACACGGATGGGCATCTCGAATGGACGGACGTTGAACCGGTCATTCCACCAACTGTAGGCATAGTCGGAGACAATCCGGTAGCGGACCATTAGGTCGCCTGCCATGTTGAATTGGTGGGTGTGGAACAACTGGAAGAGGCCATCGTCATCCACGATTCCCACCTGCCAGTGGGTGAGCATCGTCACGATCTCGTTGAGATATTCCGGCAAGGCTGGGGAAGTGTTGCTAGTGGCACATATGTTGATATAGGGGAATACAAATCTCTGCGAAGTATGGGGGTCAGCCTAAAAAATACGAAATGGAGAAGCACCGTAAGGAAGCGGAGACTCACCTCGGCTTCCCAGACCAGATGCCGGACAAAGGTTCTTCAGAAGGAAGATGTTCGAGACACTTGGCTCTGGTCCAGGGCCAACCGGATCGCAGTAAACCGCGAAGTCGCATATTCGAATATGTTTGCGGCATCCCAAAGGGAGACGCTGGTCGGGACCGAATTCGTCTGGAAGATCAGCGATGGATATTGCATGTTGATCAGGGCAGCGGCACTTTGGTCACCCCATTTTAGGTACCTCTTAGGTTGTATTATGTCTGCAGAATTAAAGGCCTAAGAGGTGCTTTTCGGACGGTCCGGCCCATGTTCTGTGGTATTTCCCTGTATGTATAGGGACCAAAATGTGATTTACTGGGGATGGTCCAAGGATCATTATAAAAATTGTGTGGGAAATACCACAAGATAGCTTTGGACCACAGACAGATTGGGATTTCCCACAGCATAGGGGTGTCAGGGTCCTACTATGACCAAATTTTCACAATAATTTTTCGAAAATTACAGGGGGTACAGGTGCAGGTAGAGCTCACAGTACCCATGGGTTTACCCATGCTAATGCATAAGCTGAGATGAGAAGATGCTGGAGGTGAAAAAGCAGGATCTCCCATCTCACAAGACGCTGGAATCACAGTTTCCCCTGAGTATATGAGTATGGGTGGTACCCATGGGTTTACCTGTGCTTATACGTAAGGTGAGATGAGAAGACGCGGGAATCACTGTACCAGGGGGGTCGAGACCAGCTCCCTCGCAAGACACTGGAATCACAGTGTCCTCTAAGTATATGGGTATGGGTGGTACCCATGGGTTTACCTGTGCTAATACATAAGCTGAGATAAGAAGATGCTAGAATCACTGTACCAGGGGGGTCAAGACCAGCTCCCTTGCAAGACGCTTGAATCACAGTTTCCCCTGAGTATATGAGTATGGGTGGTACCCATGGGTTTACCTGTGCTAATACGTAAGCTGAGATGAGAAGACACGGGAATCACTGTACCAGGGGGGTCAAGACCAGCTCCCTTGCAAGACGCTGGAATCACAGTTTCCCTTGAGTAATATGGAAGTATTGTGAGTACATGTACAGGTAGAGCTTACATACACTTGTGGGTGAAAGACCTGTATGCATTGGTGGGAAGGACAAGATCTTGAGGGGAAAGACCATGGGTATTTTCTATCCTAAGTGGGAAGGACCAGATTATAGGGGGAAGGACCATGGATACTTTCTATCCTAAGTGGGAAAGACCACATTGTATGGGGAAAGACCATTGGTACTTTCTAGCCTATGCGGGAAGGACCAGATCGTATGGGGAAAGACCATGTGGTACTTTCTATCCTAAGCAGGAAGGACCAGATCATAAGGGGAAAGACCACATCGTAAGGGGAAGGACCATGGGTACTTTCTATCCTTAGCGGGAAAGACCAGATCGTACAGGGAAAGACCATGGGTACTTTCTAGCCTATGCGGGAAGGACCAGATCATACTGGGAAGGACCATTGATAATTTTTACTATCATAGGGAAGGACCAGATTGTACAGGAAAGACCATTGGTACTTTCTAGCCTATGCGGGAAGGACCAGATCGTACGGGGAAAGACCATGGGTACTTTATATCCTTAGTGGGAAAGACCAGATCGTACGGGGACAGACCATGGGTACTTTCTAGCCTATGCGGGAAGGACCAGATCATATGGGGAAGGACCATTGGTAATTTTTACTATCATAGGGAAGGACCAGATCATACGGGGAAAGACCATGGGTACTTTCTAGCCTATGCGGGAAGGACCATTGGTAATTTTTACTATCATAGGGAAGGACCAGATCGTACAGGGAAAGACCATTGGTACCAGGGGAAAGACCAGATATTAAGGGGAAAGACCATTGGTCCTTTTTACCATCATTGGGAAAGACCAATGATACATTGGGACAGACCAAGTGTGGACCACATGCACTTATGGGAAGGACTTGTGATACTTTTACACTTATAGAGAAAGACTAATGTGTTGTGGGGATGGTGGTCAACATATATCAAATTAACTAAGGAACATTTATATGTAATACTATCTGGTAGGACATCTTGTAGGGGATGATGGCATAAAATCATCTTCAATGTCATCTAAGTCATCATCAGGGTCTATATCATACCTATACTCGTCTACCAATGCAATATCTTCAATTGCATCCATCAATTCATCATCGCCAATCTCATCATAATCCGAATCTCCCTCGTCATCCTCTCCCACAGGTCCTACACTCTGGTCATCCTCGTCCCGAAAAGAAGGCTGCACCTGTTCATGGGTAGCGCGAAGTAAGACTTCATCTGAAGGACCCCACCTGTCCACTGACCAGGCACACGGAACACACTGAACTTTTCTTCTCCAAGCAACACAGATGTTGACAAGCTCATCGGCGCGCGATGCAAGGTGGAAAGCCAAAACGACTGTCCGATCCTACAACACGAATTAAGAACAGACATGACATAGGGTCACAATCATGCACCTGCATTCGTCAAGGCACCCTGTATACCCTCCCACTCTGTCAACATCCACTCCTGCATAACAGACCGCTCACGCATCAGCCGGGCCTCCTCCTCGAGGCAATGATCCACTTCAAGTTGCGAGTGGATACCGTTTCTGACGGCCTTGTCTGATAACCACGCTGGAGGGTTGACAGTGGCGTCGTCGAGTCCAATGTCTTGCCAGATATTGTCATCGACGTCGAGTTGGAAGATGCCGTCGCGCGGAATGGAGTGAGGGGGGATAGCAAAAGGTGGCGCTCTCCGTTGTCATATAAGCGATTGTATTTGAGAACACAAGCCATTGTAGGTTGAGACTAGCTTGAGAATGCCAGGTTCACGACGTTTGATGGAGTGTTGTGTATTCACGTGAAGTTTTTCAGCTGTAAGGACATGAGATTTGTACAAGTGGTGAAGTAAAAATGAACGCACTATTGATAGATGCTCGGTAAGACCTCTCGAGTCTCTCCAATTCGAACTTCCGTTGATGAAGACGGTCCCGGATGCGACTTTTCACAGCGCGAGCATTCAATCTGGCTGTGAGATAAACATCCCTCTTCATCTTCTCCAGTTCAGCCTTATCTTCCACTCCAAGTGCAGCTCTACGATGTCGGATAGTGTTAGAAACTTTAGTACGTCGCGAACGAGCATCAACCAGCTGCAGATTGAGCTCTACCATGTTATCAACATGACCACCGTGTAAGTGCGCCTCCAGTTCACGGACAGAAGCGTTGTGTGCATCTAAAGTCTTCTCCAATGCAAGAAGAGTCATAATGACCTCGGCCGCCTTGTTTCTGGATTGACCTAGTCAAGATATTCAGTTCAGTAAGACAACAACAACAGGTAGGTATCCTCTTACGTGGAGCGGGTCGTGTCTGGTGTGCAATCTGAGCTTTCCACTCCGCACAAAGCATGTCCTTGTTGAGGTCCAAGTCTTGTAAATTGTCCAGAGCCACATTCTTCTTCGTCTGGCAGTGTATCCAACGCCGATGAAGCCAATGGCCAAATCCTTGCAGCAATCTCGCATCAAGGTGGCGAATTTGAGTATCAAGCACGAAAAGACGCTGATTGAACTAGAGTAGAGTCAGACTTGTAGAATAATATATGGGTGGTACTTACTCCAGAAACGCGTAGAGGCGGGATCAGTTGCTTTAGAGAACTCCATAGTCGTTCACACCCCTCGCCGTCAGACAACCCAAAACCTTCGCATTTCCTGGGATGGTAAATAAGTTGACAAGGCCACTGGTGACCGTAAGCATGGAATACAGCAACTGCAAAGGTGAGTCGCGATAAAATAGATTCATCCAAAAGACTCCATTTGCGACAGCTCCGTTCAAGTTGGCACCCGATATCGTACAGAAGCCCAACAGTCATTTGAGGGGGTAGATGCTTGAACAGATGATCCAATAGAGCGAGCGAGTAATGTTGTTTCTCCCCGGCTGATGTGAGATTCGCGATCCAGAGGACACGGTCGTGTCTACAAAGCAGCACCATAAGGCCTGTATCAGTAAAAAATCGAGTGCTTGCCTTCTCCCGTTTCTCGTCTGCAGCCGTGAAAGATTCTCCGCATCCATCCAGGACTGATACTGGCACACTCATACCCTTTTCATAGCGATCCTCTTCTGGCTCCGTCCTTGAGGCCCTCGCCCGACGTCTTTCTCCTCGACAGCGCTGCACGAACTCCTCCATCGCTTGCACGTCGTCCTTTGGTAGAAAAAAGGATGGTGTCGGGTTGGGAGGGTCGTGACCATTGGCACTGCGAGCGTTGGTGGAGCGCTTTTGAGTAAAGCATGCATCTATGCAAACGATAATATCTGGCCTGAGTATGATCAATTGAGTAACACAGCACTATAGCTACATAAATGAACTTACATGGAACGAGAATCTTTCGCCTTTTGCCAATCATTTGCCCTGAAGCAAAGTGGGCAGTGTGAACGAAGGTATTCTGTAGGTTGTTCGACTGCCATGGGTTGCACACGGATCTTGTCCTTCCAGGTGTTGGCAATAAGGATGGAGATGTGGTCACGAGCAAAAACGTTCAACACCCGGTACCAGTGAAGTGCATTGGCGAAGCGATGGCACAGGCTATGCTAATACAAGGTTAAACATGCTATGTACATGGAGGATCAAATGCTTACCATCGATGTCAACTTATATCCCATCCCATCTAGAAACGTCTCCACTGCATCGCACCACGCAGTATGGTTGGGGGACTGACGAATGAAAAGAAGGCGGACAAACTCTAGAACACGTAAGTCTACTGCGAGTGAGGGAGCAACAGGGGCGCATGGGAACAGCCCACGACGAAGGAGCTGGAGAGGGGCAGGATAACAGGGGCATGCAATGATATTAATTTCTGACAAGCCTGTAATGTACATTAGATCAGACATCGGGGGAGAAAAGAAGCTAGACAACATACTGTCAAAGAACACCCATGCAACCTTGATGCTGCGGGTCCCACACCCAGCATGACAAGCTACAGGATCTCCGTGTGGCTGTCGTACAGTGTCGGCGTAGTGTAGCATTGAAGTCTCCTGCATGTACGATAGATAGGGCACTACAAGCGATGGAATGACATCTTCTGACCATCTGCACCACTGGTTGGTCTTTTTCTGAGAGCTGGTGAGATGATGGATACTGGGATCATTAAAGAAATGGAGGGAGTCGCTAAAATGATTCGTGGTTCCGTCACGATCTTGGGGGGTAACCGTCCTGGGTGCGGATGGAAGAGATAAAGTTTGCTGAGTGAGACGTTTGCATCTGGGCATAATCAAGACTGGGGGTGGGCCAGGAAGATAGAGGTCTAACGTGCGAGTCTGGCGGGGACGTCGCCATGCCTTGTTCATCGAAGGTTCACAGACTATAGTATTTGGGGGCAGTTCTTCCTGCGTGGCAGATGCTGCTTGCAGAGTGGATATTTTGTGACATCTAGGCTTAGGACGACGGACCGCCATAGCGCAGCACTGTAAGAGTCAATATAACGGGCACAACACATCAACGACACGAAGCCAGCTGGACACCAATGACGCGAAGTCACTTGGAGGAACTTGTGAATGGAAGCCACCAACGACGCAAAGTCAGCTGGAGTGGGCGTGGGGCTCGATTATGGGCAACAGATCAATAAAGGTCAAGTGTACAACCTGGCCCGCACGTTCGATGAAAAGGGAGGGGGGTAAAACGAGCGGAAGCGAATGATCGATGGGATAAATTATTCAGTATCAGAATGGGAAAATATGCAGTTGCATCGTCCCATCAGGTCAGCCCGATCAGGCATTGACCATGTGTCACGGATGTTCTCGTCATCTTACTCAGGAAGGCAAATACATCGGCAGAGTGAGATAATGGAAGGAAGTTGAGGATGGAGAAATATAAGAATAAGAATAAAATAAAAATAAAAAAATAAAATAAAATAAAATAAAAGGATAAACCGCTGGGGAAGTTTGTTGGTGGCCACAGAGAATATGAACACATTACGTCGCATGCCTGCACAGAAAAGTCAAGCAGAAGGCTGGAGAAACAAATACACACACCATGTCACTAAAACGAGACTAGAGGTAACCACGGAAGCCATCCGAATCACCATTACGGCTGAGGGAACATAATATTTGTACACAAACACGGAAGAAAATGTAGTATGCAATGTAGCATTATGAAATCATCATTACAGAGGGAGCAAGTGAGGAACAACGGGAGGCCTACCGAAGTGATCGAAAAACGTCTGAACATAAAACGCAGTCGCAGTGCACGCGACTTCCCACCATTTTGTATCTGTAAAGTTCTCTTGGATGAGCGGCGATGTAAGAAGAGGCGGCACATCATCCCAAGAGCACAGCAGTTGTCGGAAACTTTCGAGGTACGGAAGAACACCAATTAAGGTGTTATTCCACATACCGTAATTGTCCGTCGGAAACGGCTCCGACCACATGACAAGGCCAGCCTCACCAGGGAAGATGGCATGCAGCAACTGTTCGCGACCAACCAGATCTTCTGCCCAGCGTCCCTTGGCCAAGTGGCGATTGAGATCCCTCAATTCATAGCGGAATCCAAGCTCGAACAGCTCCCAGGTAATCTTTTGGGCAAGGAGCTGGGGAGGGTGGGCGAGACTGGCGACAGGGACCTGTTCGCCACGGAATTCTACCATTCCTTCCGGCGCAAATAAATCTCCGTGAGAGTCCACCATATCATCTCCGAACAAATCCTTCATCATTCCCTTGCGCTTCTCCGCCACAGTAAGAACTTTTTTTTGGGTCCTTTGCCTTTGGGCGCTGCGGCTTGTGATTGGGCAGAAATCCCGCTACCAAGAAAGTCACGCCATAGTTGAGGGGATGGGTAATTGTGAGGAGGGTTGTGATCAACCCGCCCGATCCATAGTGGACGACAGGCGAGCCAAGTGGCGATGTATCCCTGAAGGCGCTCTGGCAGCTTTGGACTGACAAGGAGACCTGGTTCAGGGAACCTGTATCCTCGGTCAATAAGGTAGGGAGTGCGGACACGAGATGAATCCTTGATGCATCTTTTGAGGGCGTCATCCCAATGAAGCTTTGACGGCGGGAAGTAGGGGCTCTCAGGATCCTTCCATTTGTCCGTAATGGATTCAGCTGACTGGATGTGGTGCGCGGGCCAAGCATCTTTAACATCTGACATTGAGTAGTTAGTTGTGATACGTAAGAAAAAAAGGCGAGGGGTACTTACAGGGCTGGTGCCTGTGCTTCCTGTTATGATTTTTTGTAAGGGCCTTGCCTGCAATGGATGGTTGAGAGGATGGCCCAGCAGTAGAAGAACTGGGTGCAGATGAGCTGCCCGACGAAGGGCCCGATGAAGGACCTGGCTCAGGGTCTTTGAATGTCGTGCCCCCATAGAGGTGGCGAACATGAAGCTGACGATTGTAGCCACCTGGGCCATGATAGATGATTTCGTAAGGTCGCACTTTGTTGCCCTCTGCATACATGGAAAGGATGATTTGATCGGGACGGGTGAGTAAAACGGGCTGTTTTACCGTCATGTTCGAAGGTATGTACGCCATGGTGCGGACATACCAAATGGGGATACCAGCAATGTACAGCTTGTTGCACATGTTGCTGTCGTGCGTGAAGGCGCCCATCCACTCAGAGTTGACGACAGAAGTGCTGTCACCGGCAGTCATATGAGGCTGAGCAAGGAGGATCCACTCCATGAATGAATAGATCTCGAGAAACAGCCGTTGGGCATCAGTCACGAACATGAGAAGGTCGCGGAATGTAAGTGGATGCATCTTCAAACATGAGACACCATGTTGAAGGGACAAAATGCGACTGACTACAGCGTCATTCTTGCCTTGCCGATTAGCCCTCCAATCCTGCACCCGTTTCTCTGCCAATTTGCAAAGAGAATCCAAGCCTTCAACCTTATCCGATGCGAGTGTGCCTACAGGGAACGAGGTGCCTGGGATTGGCTTGAAATCTTCTTGGGTGGGAGTGAACCAAGCCCAATGTAGTGGGTGTGGGGATGGGAAAGCCTCCTTTCAAGGAATGCAAGTCCAATTGCAAAAAACGTTATCGTAAGCTTGAGGCCACTGGAAGCAGTCTATGGCGCCGAAGCGACCATCCGCACGAGCCTGTACGTTTTCTTCTTCAAAATGGTGGAACGCGGGAACGAAGTCCATGTTCAGTGTTGTGATGACTAAATTTCCTTGGACAGCGACGGCGTGGGCGTCGAAAGCTTGCAGCCATGCTGTAGTATGTATGCACATTAGTAGGATACAGACGTCAGAAATGACCCCTCCTACCATCCCGAAGAGTTGTGTTGCTCTTGAACATCAATAGAGCGGTGGGCATGATGAACGCTGCAAAGTTTAAGTAGCGTGTACTTGATGAAAAGTTGCAACACACCTGCAAGTTGAATATGACATCGTGAGAGTGTGAGCGCTGGTAGCATACAATACGTGATAAAGAGTACTTACCACAAAGGAAAACGTATCTAAGAACTCTAATCTGCGAAAGATGAGATCAGTAGAAAGTGGAGGCAGGTGAACGTATGGACGTCTCACCGATTAGTAGATGCACGGTTGAAAACAGTGAGATTGTGGAGGGCGACACTGATGATCTGAGATGGGAGTGATGGCAGCGGCACACCAAAAGAGGGTCTTTAACCCTACTGTTGCAGCAACGGATGAGCAACAGGGCGACCGTCAAGACGTGAAGTCTAGGCGTGGATGATCAGCGACGCGAAGTCAACTGAACAAAAATCGAACGGCACGAAGCCAGTTCTAGCTGAGAGAGGGCCGGGCGCAGAATAGGATGACGACGACGACGAGGAAAGGATGTGTCGAGGGAAATGATGGTAGATAGCAAGGCCTGACTGAGTACAGAGTAGGAATAAAGAACTTCGAAGAACACGAAGAATATTGAGAGGCAAAATCAATCGTTCTGGGACTTTCCCAGAGTTGGCTAAATTTGGCTGCAAAACTATAGTCAACCCTGGGAAAGTCCCAGAACGATTGATTTGGCCTCAATGATATTCTTCAGAGTTTGTATTTCTTTACTTATTCCTACTGTTTACTCAGTCAGGCCTTCCTATCTACCATCATATCCCTCGACACATCCTTTCCTCATCCTCGTTGTCCTCGTTGTCCTCGTCCTACTCTGCGCCCGGTCCTCTCTCTCAGCTAGAACTGGCTTTGTGCCATTCGATTTTTGTTCAGTTGACTTCGTGTCGCTGATCATCCACGCCTAGACTTCACGTCTTGACGGTCGCCCTGTTGCTCATCCGTTGCTGCAACAGTAGGGTTAAAGACCCTCTTTTGGTGTGCCGCTGCCATCACTCCCGTCTCAGATCATCAGTGTCGCCCTCCACAATCTCACTGTTTTCAACCATGCATCTACTAATCGGTGAGACGTCCATATGTTCACCTGCCTCCACTTTCTACTGATCTCATCTTTCGCAGATTAGAGTTCTTCTGTCCTCATTGTTCAATCTAATCAGTAAGCCTTGCATATATTCTTCTGCTCTACTTTCTACTGAATTCGCATTTCGCAGATTAGACTCCCTATATGCGTCTTCTTCTCAGTAGGTGAGAACCTCCTTCCTCCACCCCTTCACCATGTCCTACTAAATGCTCATTAGCTCGCATGACAAGTCCACTTCCCACCTCTCTTCAGCACATCCACCGGGCCCACCACACTCCTCTACTGCATCTCCACACTCACCAACCCCGAGCTACAGTGAAGCCACTAGCGCATTCTTTACGGTACAGCTTGTTCGGCTGTTTGATATGAGTAGGGGAAGAAATGCCCGTTCCGTTTGAGTGAGTCTGGACATTTACTGCCCTGCGATCGATCCCTGATTGCAATGTCGGCTCTTTTTTCGACACTGTAATGCAGGTATTACGTAGTCATCACCTCCGATCTTCTTCAATGGAGTATAATAACGGGGTTTTTTTTTCAAAGCTAACTTGTAATGCATACAGCACTGTACGTGGTCAATGCTTCCGAATTATCACAAACCGAATTAATTCTTTCATTTTTTGTGCTAGCGGTGTTTGGCTTTCAGGGCGAATGCAGTGGCGCCCACTCATGTTATAAAGGCAATCCTCCCAATTCTGAGCGTCTCATCCCCACAATATCATTGCAAGTATTCTCTGCCGCTTATTGCCTTGCCCGACTTCGTGTCGTGCAACATTGTTGAGAAAACTTCGAGTTCTCAACTTAAATTCCACGTATCTCCGTGATCGTTGGAATATTCTTGCAAATGCCTACAACCCGTTCAGGCCGTAATGCCAGACCCTCACCTCTGCCTGATGGAACCCTGCCCCGCAATATGACGAAGACCAGAACGGTAATATTTCTCGATATTGTGTCTTCACCAACTAACTGTACCATATATCAAGACCCGCAGCGCAAAACACCATACGGAATCTGATGCTGATGACATGGAGGCAAGTTGATCTTTTTCGAATTTTGTGAATGATCCCTGATGTTATTGATGTTCTAGCCCCCCGAACGTCCCAAACCCCGCCGCCGTGCAGGCCCCAAGTCTGTCATCAGCAATGAAAATGGAGAAGAGGTAAGTCATGTGGTCATACCGTCGTTGATATCGCCATTAAATTCTTAGCGGTCTGTGCGTCGACCCTGACCGAAGCCCCATCCCCTTCCACGGTCCTCCGCACGGTCGGGTCCCAGGACTTCATCAGCTGAGGAGGAGGTTTTTCTCTCGAATTTTTCGAGGCGCCAATCCATCATCCAAAACAAGTCCGACTACACCAATCCTGAAGCTGATACAGACGGAGTAGCTACGGATGGTGATGAGGAATCAGGCAAGCCCCTTTCATTTGGTGGATGTCTACCTTAACTCAATGTTTGCTAGCTCCTACCCCTGGACGCAATTCAGTAGATGTCACAGCAGGCGAAAAGAACACTTCAGGTCTGTTGCTCCCAGCATTGCATTTCTACATCAACTAACTGTTCTATTAGTCTCCACTGCTCAAAGCCAATCGGACAAGCCAAAGGGCGCCGCTAACGTTTGCAAGGATATGTCAGGTATGTCATTCTGAGCCGTTCTTATTTTCTAGCTCATGTACAGTTCTTTTAGCGTCTGTTGCCCAAAGCGTATCAAACATTGCAGTTGCTCCCCCCCACGTAGGTCGGATGCCACCAAGACAACACCTCCTACCCCAGTCCATGAAGCTCCAAGTCAACATCACTCAGGAGATGTCACAGCAGGCGACAAGGGCACTTCAGGTTTGTCGCTCCCAGTGTTACATTACTAGGTCAACTAACTATCCTTTTAGCCTCCACTGCTCATCAATCGGACAAGCCAAAGGATGCCACCAACATTTGTAAGGATACATCAGGTATGTTATTCTGAGCCGTTCTTATTTTCTAGCTCACTTACAGTCCTTTTAGCGTCCACTGCCCAAAGCGAATCAAACATCGCAGTTGCTCCCCGCCCGCATAGGTCGGGTGCTGCGAAGTCCTACACACACGACCACAGCGATGGCGCAGAGAGTTCACCCTCTGACAGCGACTGGGCCGCAGACGAAGAAAAGCGCAAAAAAGTTGCGCGTCCTTCTGCCGTTGACGGTGACGGCAATGACGGCGGTCCCCCCCCGTCTCCACTTCGATTGACCCGCGAACGAAAAGGAAAGGGCAGAGCCAAGGAGTTTGATGACGACGACGACGAGCAGTATTATAATGATGACCAGGAGGTCAACGAGGATAAGAGTGACGAAGGCCCAGCCAAGAAGGGAAGGCTGCCATTGGAAGTGGTGTTAAAGGCGCAGGAACTTGGGCGAACCACCGTCGAAGCAGCCAAAGCGTTAGGGAAAGAATATGGCAAAAGTGCGAGGGTGATTCTAATTGAGGCAGGACTGGTTATGAAGGCAACCCGCAAGGAGTCTCCTTGTAAATCAGCACCAAACATGGTTCAAGACTTTTAGCCCCCCCTCTGAAGGACGTATGTATATTCCTTTGTGGTTGTGCATGGTCTGCTCACATCCTTTGCAGAGGATATCAAGGCTTGGAAGGAGGAGCAAGCAGCGCACTACAAGGCCCATCCGTACAAAGACCCCAAACACGCAGCGTTGTGGCAGAAGATTCAGGAGTATTGGGATGGTTGCGTTACTGGTGCAACTGAGGACCTAACGTCGCGATCTGCTAGTTCTCTGATGCTGCACGTTCGTGATGATTTTTCAAAAGCGGTGAGTCTCGCATTAATAGAACATTGATGGAGAGACTAAGTAGTACACAGGCTGGTTACTGGTACCACACCCATGGCATTCATATTTCTGGTGTTGCAATATTCCCTGGTCATGAAGACGCTGGCCGCCAAGCGTCAGGATTCTTCTCTGGGTCTGACATCATGAAGGACATCATCAATGCACGACAACTTGACATCAGTCGTATCTTGGACGAGCTCACAACCATTCTCAAGTGTGTTTTCTGATAATACTACCGGACATTGCTCACTTTATTATAGGTACAAAGACTTAGAGGCTGCGCAAGCAGAAGGTGTGACTTTTAGTTTTCTCCCTCGCTCTACCGATGTCCCAAATGGCACGCTTTTGTGCAATGGCAAGTCCGCTAGGGACAGGAACAGAAAAGTAGCACCAATGATCATCAGCGAGAAGTTTGGTATGTTTTATTTGTTTTATTGTGTCGCTAATTTACTGATGGTGTCTCATTGGTAGCTGAAGCTGGCCATCCGCTCAAAACCTCCAACAACAGGTGGTTAGACATCCTCAATACTCTTTACATTGAGCAATTGTGCATCCACGACTGGCCCGCCGGTGTACCGCCCCCCGGCCCCGATTTTGATCTCAAAGCTGTGTCAGCGAGTCAGTTGCGTGCATTGGTAGTTCCTTACCTGAGGATGCATCTTGGGGCAATGTACGAGGTTGACTTAGGTCAAGATGATGAGGATGATGATAGTGAGGCAGAGATGCGAAGACGAAGAAGCGTAAGGGTAAATCCAAGAAGTCGAACGACAACAGAAGGACAAAGGGTAAAATAGTAGAGGAGCCAGACATGGTGTTGTCCATTAGAGAGTGGTCTGAGTGTATGTGTTTTGGTTGTCTCTTTCATGTACGCACTAATGATACTACAGATGATGTTGAACATTTTGAGTCTCAGTCTACCTCAATGTATTCAATCCCCCTGGTCATCAACACGAACGGCGAGGTCCTCCGTGAGCTTCAAGACTCAGTCAAGTTTTTCAAGGACTTCCCCCTCCCAGATAAAGCTAGTACCAAGCAGGTAACTGAAGAGCTCCCTTCGTCTGACCAAGAAGCTGTGCACTTGACTCATGTAGCTTCGCGCCCAACCCAAGGGAGGGCTTCGCGCCCAACCCAGGTGGCTTCGCACCCAACCCAGGTAGCTCCACGCTCCAACCACAGAGCTCCGCGCTCCAATCATAGAGCTCCGCGCTCCAATCACAGAGCTCCGCACTCCAACCAAGATGCTCGACAATCTCGCCAGGAAGCTTCGCGCTTGCCTCAGCCTACTAATTGGGAAGCTCATCAGGGTCTTCCACCCTCGTCTCCTCTGCTAACACTGTCAACAATTGTCTCGTCTTCAAGTCCTAGGTCTACTCTCCTGGTTTCCACATATACCCGTGATTCTGTGCATCCCACTACCTCTCGTTATGAACATTCTCGGCGTCCTCTTCATGAAGGTCAACGTAAATGTGGTGGCCTACGTGACGACAGTCATCCTTGGCCCTATGATTCAGATACTCGCAAGCGGACGCGGGACTGATTACGAAACTACACGCGAGGCTAGTGACTTGGAGAATGAGACAGGTAGTGGAGAGGTACCATGCCAGGTTGCAAGATAATCAGTATGTCGCTCTTATAATGTTAATGTATCTCAACTAACTGTCATATAATTTCCTTAGTCGCCGTATCCCGTCTGGTCGTCAATCACACCAACCTCTACCAATTGCCAGCACCTCCCGTTCTCAGTTGCCAGCGTGTTAATGGTCTTGCCCGTCACAATGTGGTCTGTCCCATTTGGTATAAAAAGTACCAATGGTCCTTCCCATCGCGATCTGGTCCTTCCCTATGATGGTAAAAAGTACCAATGGTCTTTCCCATCATGATCTGGTCTTGCCCAATTAATCTGGGAAACTGTGATTCCAGCGTCTTGCAAGGGAGCTGGTCTCGACCCCCCTAGTACAGTGATTCCCACGTCTTCTAATCTCACCTTATGTATTAGCACGGGTAAACCCATGGGTACCACCCATACTCATATACTCAGGGGAAACTGTGATTCCAGCGTCTTGTGAGATGGGAGATCCTGCTTTTTCACCTCCAGCATCTTCTCATCTCAGCTTATGCATTAGCATGGGTAAACCCATGGGTACTGTGAGCTCTACCTGCACCTGTACCCCCTGTAATTTTCGAAAAATTATTGTGAAAATTTGGTCATAGTAGGACCCTGACACCCCTATGCTGTGGGAAATCCCAATCTGTCTGTGGTCCAAAGCTATCTTGTGGTATTTCCCACACAATTTTTATAATAATCCTTGGACCATCCCCAGTAAATCACATTTTGGTCCCTATACATACAGGGAAATACCACAGAACATGGGCCGGACCGTCCGAAAAGCACCTCTTAGGCCTTTAATTCTGCAGACATAATACAACCTAAGAGGTACCCAAAATGGGGTGACCAAAGTGGCAGCGGAGGTGCAAGGGGGAATGAAAATACAGCCATTTAACCACCAGTATAAATAGGCAGGGAGGGCTGTTGTTAGGGCCATATGTGGTGACAGGTCCACATGATACACAACCGGGCTGGAATGAAACATTATGAAACCGCATTGTTTGCAAAGACCATGGACTACATACAAAAGAAGATTGTAGGATAAATGTATTGTCAGGAACACCCAATGATGACATCACCGGTCGTGACCGAATGTTGGGTTGACCTCAACAAACCGGGTGTGAGCATCCTTGGTCAATCATTTGTACATCTGAGCCTGTCTGAGCGCATAGCACCTGTTGCCCACCCGAGTGGGGTTGCCATTCTGGTGTGTTCGACCGAGCCATGTTGTGGATCTGTGCATGAGGAAATTGATTGTCCAACACATCTCATGTCCCATGAGGATGAACTCTTCTGCCCAACGATCACGCAGAGCCTTGGTCTGAAGCCAATGCACCCTGTAAACTGGGTTCCGGGTCGACATGGGCCCGACAATGAAGTCCCGGGAAGAATGACTCACATTCGTTCATCCAGTCATCGCTAACCGAATCCCCTTGTACATCTAGGGACCAAAACCATGGCAGCGTGGAATTTCTCTGACCACGGGCATTGGGATCCGCAACAGCAGAGGTGGCTTTGAGGTGGCTTTTCTCCAACTCCCGATATTTTTGCAACAGCTGGTCTGCCCCGAGATTCTGGAGCTGGGCCCTGCATTTCTTGTAGATCATGCTGTTGAGGTCGATCACCCGTTCCACTGAGTGGACCTGGGCCCAAGCCCAGGTGGTCCTGGCTTGCGACTTGGCCGGCTGGACTGTGGTCCTAAAGAGAACCACCTTGTCGGCAGGTGCACTCTGATGGCGTGCAGCATGTCGTTTGCCTGTCCCTCCCTTAGGGTGATCTCTTGTCTGATCAGGCCCGCTACGCCCAATTCCCTGCATCTCTGCATTCCCAAGTTGGACGGGAGAGGGATGACCACTATTTTGGGTCTGAATAGAGCCATCGGGTGACGGACTCCTGGTGCTCCATCATCATCGGCGTCTTCATTGCTGGACCCACTGCCATTCCGCAGGAACCCAACATCCATGTTGGGGATACAATGGTCAGAATCGTAGTCATCTCCGAGATACCTCCCTGCTGTTGCAACAAACTCGTCAATGGAGTGTTGCAGCCTGATCCGGCAACGGCCCATCTCCAGCACCTGATTCTCGGTAGGGTGTCTTCCCATCCTCCTGATGTCCATTGCTAGAGTGATCTGCATTTCCTCGATGGTGATCCCAGATGCAAGCCAAGTGGCAGCTCCTAACTGTGGTCTTTCTCCTGGGTGACAGATGGATGTCTGCAGTAAGTCGACCTCGACCTCCTTCTGGGTTCGTGCTACCGAGGTCGAGCATCAGTGCTGCAACCGAGATATCTATGAACACACGAGACTTGCCCTTTTGCAACTGCATGTCATAGATGTCCAGGGCTGATGGATCGTCTATCCGAGAGGCTTGTGCTGCTCTCTCCTGCGCTTCCCACCGCTCGACCATTTCCGGATCTGCTGCATCGTTCAATGCATTGAATGCCTCAGTGCTTTCGGCAACCCCTCGTTTGGCCTCTTTGTATTTCCGGGACAAGAACAGCCCTGTTGGTATGAGATTTGTTTCAGGCATTAGGTACGGCATGACTAACCCATCTGAATCATCTTCATGTAGTTGCAGTTGTTCATTTGATAATCAAGGCATTCCTGTCGGTGTGGGGTCGACATTCCCCAGGCGGAAGGAGATATGATGTTCAGAGGCACCCACAGTGTTTCCATGATCTCCCCATCTATTCTGGCGGTCCCTGGGATGAAATTGGATGTGTACCGAACATAGCACTTGTCTTGGTGGCCATGAACGTGCCACAGTCCTATCCCCAGGATAATGTCCATTCCCGAAGGAAGGCTGAGATGAAGGCTCTCGTCCACCCGCTGCTGGAGGTGCTTGTTGTACTGGCAATTGACGTCATAGAACGTCAACGCCTGGCAAAGTCCATCCGTGTTGTGACTCAGGGCGTAGTCCATGTTCATCTGTCTGCTCCTGAATGTCAACCTCCGACGCCAACTTCCGTGTCGGGAACCTCCTACCTTTCGCCCTTTTGAAAATTGACCATCAAATTAGGCACGAAGCACCCATGTCTGGCGCATGTGCACCCTCCTATTCCCGTGGCTTCTAGCTTGTGCCAAGATGCATTGGCCTGGTTCACCGCCCTATGGTTGTTGCATTCGGACCTCTGCGCCAAATCCTTGGCGAGCCCGAGATGAGCCTGGTACCTGGCTCTGGCTACCATGAAGCTTTGCCCGTCAGTGAGCCAAACTTCATCTTCCGGGTGTGTCGGGTGCAGATGCTCAGCTTTAAAGTTACCATCCATCACCAATGAACGTGAATACAGCCACTCAGGCATTGTGTCATCATCTTCTGTTGGTAAGGTCATGTTGATGCTGGGCTGAGGACATGCAGGGCAGAAAAGAGCCAGCTCCCCATCTTTTGGATCCTTCCTGTTGTGACCGAATCCATTCCATTTCAGAAGCTTCAGCTGCCGCCATTGTCTGCTCACTCTCATCAACTCCCGGTATCGGTCCTACCGAGCTTTAGCATCGGGTCCGGAGGAACAGATGCATACATACTGGTACTAAATGCGGGAACATGCTGGACGTGATGCACCTCAATTTACTGTAATAGTTCATTGCCGAAGTCCCACACTCCAGGTTGTCCAGGATGAAATTGTCCAGCAAAGCAAAGGTGAATGCAGTCTTTGGGCGGGTGAACGACACCAGGAACAGTCCAATTTCAAACAGCTGCTTGTCTGGGGTTCAGGCGTCAGCGCATTGGCAGAACCGAACCCACATGGTGTGAACGCCCGATGTATCGACCACTGTTATCCGTGTTTTTCCTACCACCGGCGAGTCTTTTGCATAGGGGGGATACTCCTCCTCTAAGAATACATCACCTGCTCCTGTGTCGTCGACATCTTGGGAAAATACATAGTAGGCTGATGCAGATGGGCCTTCACCGAAAGCATCACCGGCATCACATGCACCCGGAGTTCCTGCCATGGAGGATGCAGCAGATTGTCCCCCATCATCCGTGTCCTCCCAGTCCCAATAGTGGTGCGGGCAAGATCGTCCTCCATGCCCGAGATGAATCTCCACGCCTAACTTTGTCAGTGCGGTCCTCTCAAAGAAATCTCCGTTCCATTGACTGATCTGGTGAAAAGGCAGCCGAGCGTGTTGTGTCCGGCAGCACTTGGTGCAGAACATCGGCTCGGCAAGACAGTCATGGCACTTCTGCACTTCATCCCCATCGCACAAACAGCACACCCTGTCAGGAGGCAGGCCCTCCCATTCGATCAGCATATCTAGATAATCCTCTGCCATCACCTTCCACTGCCGGAGATACTTGTTCAGACCCTAGGTATGTCGTGTCAGGCGAGCCAGACATCGGTGAGGGTGAATGGACTTTGACTTGCCATGGTCTTTTTCTTTCTCTTGTTCTTCCATGGGCCCTGTGGAATTCACATGGGATTGATGTCTCCCTGGTCGTTGTAGCCTCCGTCAAAGTCGTCGGAGAACCTATACATCAACCCATCCGAAGGCTGCTTGGCGGGAGACTTGGTCGGGGACGACCGAGCTGACTTGCTTGTGTTGGTGCGTTTGTCTGGCACCCACCGAGCTTTGAAGCCTCAAGTTGTTTTCTTCAGTCTCCATTTCACCAGGTGGATGGTCCCTCAAGTGGTGCACTCCTGCGCCTTTGACTTGCCCATGGTGAGGTCTGAACTGATGGTGGTCGGGAGTTGATCCGTTATTGCATCATGCTCCCTTAACAGGACCCTCGCTAAATCACCTCGTTTGTTACTATGTTGATGCATCTTTGAACAGCAATGATTCATCAGCAATTTAATTCTTTGAGCCATACCCGTTTGAATAATGATTTACGCCTCAGGCATTAGGATGGTCAAGGAAGTAGACATGCTTTTATATTGTGATTGCAAAGTTGATAGACGGTGTCAATGAATTAATATGCTCTATCATTAGAAAGATCTAGAAAGTCCACATGCTTCTATGTTCTCATTGTATTTCAAAATTCTTGGCCCGGCCCAAATCATAGGATGGTCGGCCCTGCTAAGATGCCCCAGATATGCTTTCAATCTTTCAAATCAATCCGAAGTGATACTAGCACAAATGCACAACAATTTATAATGGGATTGGCCCAGACAATCACAATCTTGGTCTTGTTTGTCAAGGCCCAGTCGCCCTTAATTTACGGTGGCATGGATACCGATTGTCCAAAGGCTAAACAAACAAGCTGGCTCAAATTAAACCTCTCGCCAGACACTTATATTTCCCTTCTGTCATCCTCATATTCCTACATCTTTTCCCATGGCAGGGAACAACTCGGAGGCAGATGAAGAGGCTCCGAAGCAGGTGCCTTTGAATGAAGGGGAGGTGGCTGTTCTGGAGTCCTACCTTGAGCAATGGGACTCGACATCGGGTCAAGAAAGAAATGTGGTCTGGGGGGATGCCACGACGGAGACTCGGCTGAAGGCCCCTGGCATGGATGCCAAGCTGTTGAAGTCCCAAAAGACGGTGAGTGGGTCTTGCCATATATCCCAGGCATTTGCTGATGCAGTCGCTGCACAGGTCTACAGAAAATGGTTGCAGAACCATAGAGGGAAGAAGAAGGACGCCAAACCTCCCATCAATCTCGGGAGGAAGTGGACATACCGGGCAGTCGTGGGGTCTCTCAGGAAGAAGGAGCTGCTGAAGAAGATCGAGGACGAGACTGGTGTGAAGCCTGGCGAACCCGAGATGATGAATCATTATGCCAAGTATCTGGCAGAAATGGTGAATTCTCTTACTGAGAAGGAGGTGGAGGAAGCGACCGAGATGGCTGAGGAGTGGAAAAGCAAGGAGTTCCGCCCGAGGTTCAGGCTGACACGGCAAAATGAAAGAGGGACAACATTCTCCGGTATGTGGCCAGCGAAATGTTCAAGAAGGCCGGGATGTGGCTGTTCATGCTGTCGGCTTGGAAGAATGAGGACGGAAAACTCCTGGTGTCAAGGTGCGTGAATACACCTGTATGACTGAAGAACTGGATGTCTCAACAACCGACAGTCATGACTACAACGACGAGTTCGGCAATGGCGAAAGTTTCAGCAAGACGGGCGACTGGCAGGTGATATTGCCGGAGTGGGAGTCATATGTGTCAAAACAGTTCGGTGAGCATCCGAAGCATCGTTTGGGAGTAAACACGACTGATCGGTATGGGATCTGCCAGACAAGGAAGTGGAGGATGACGCCGTGGTAAGGAAGGGAAGGAAGGACAACACATATGTCCTCGAAATAGGATGCGATGGATTGCCCATCCTCCCGGACCACGGCAAGATGGATTCAGACACGCGGAAGGCTGTCGTCCGAGCATTCCTAAATTGGCATTATCGTGAGGCAATCTGTTTGACTCTTTGGATTATCTGATGTGGGCGAGCAGAGGACTGCAGCAGCAGGCCAAAGGACCCAGTGCCTTGGAAAGAGGTGATACCTAGGCCAGAAGAGCTCATCCCTCCGATGTACCTTCCAGAGGGACGAAAACTTCGGGAGCCATCAAGAATGAACTGGGAGGAAGCAACAGAACTGTTGGACTTCTGGTACAACCGACAGGAGAACATCTGGGACGTCACATTCGAGTTCTACGGCTGGTGGAGCAAGGCCGACAAGGAGGTAAAACCCCCTGTCGCCGAGGCAGAGGCAGATACACCGGTGGATGGACAGGCCAAAGAGAATCCGGGAGGAAAGGCAAAGACAAGGGTATCGGTGAGGCGAAAGTCTGTTTTCTGGGCGATTGTTCCTTCTGACAGCTCTGATGACGATGAGGATGGCCGGCCAACAAAGACAGCCAAACCAGCCAGGCGGCAGGCAGCAAAGACAACCCATCAGCCAAAAACTTGGGTTGACCCTGCAGACCCAGGGGACGAGTTTCATCAACCAGATTCGCCGGATGAGTCCTCGGATGAAGAAAGGCCAGCTACCAGGAAGGGCAAAGAACCTGTGAAACAGAAGGCAAAGAGACCTAGGAAGGAGGTTGCGGAGACACGCGGCGAGGATGAAGCTCCTCTGGAGGTAGAGAGTCGCCCAGTTATGAAGACCCGTGCTTGCAAGCAGGGCACTGCTCCCGCCAACAGGCTTGTTGCCCCCACAGCTCCACAGAAACCATCTCCCACAACAGATGAGCCATCTGCCTCCCGAGGAGTGCCGACTCCTTTGGACCGACCCAGGAGGGTAGGGCCTGCATCTCAGCCCGGCGGTGCATTGTGGCGCAAACCTAGTCGTGGACAGAAAGACGGTCCGGCAGTCGTCTTGCAACACTCTACCAAGAAACACAAGCCGGGCAGACCACGCAGGAAGAAATGTGCTGCCGAAGATGAGTTGAAAGGATCACCTGCCAAACGCACACGCAGCAAGACCACAGATGTTCTCCCGAAAAGATCCAAGAAACCCAACTCCAGATATGCTGCCAACTTCATGCGGTCTTGATACTTCCGAAGTCGGATGACGCCCTTGAGGCTGTTGGACTCATTTGCATATTGTTTGTACTGTATATTGCGGGTATAGTAGCAATTACAATGTCGCCCCTCTTAATATTTTGTTCTCCTGGACATGAATGCATTACCGCTGGGTATTATTGCTATGGTTGGTCTTCCTTCCGGACCCTAACAAAATGTACATATATTCTACCGAACCGAAACCTAGGGATCCACAAGAAAGACATAGACATACCTTGGTGTTCTCCCCACCCGAGATCGTACAACGGTTCATCTTCACCCGTGAGATCAACGACCTCTTGTTGCATCGGGTGTTCACTTGCGGGTGTTGACCCCCACCCGAGATCATATGAGGGTTCGTCATTGTCGTCTTCTTCTTCCTTCTGGTGTTCACCCGCAGGTGCTGGTCCCCATCCGAGGTCATACCCGTGTCCATCGATTGCGTCTTGCTGAACGGGCTGTTCACCCAAATGCGTGGATCCCCACCCAAGATCATACGCCGGCGCATCATCTTCATCCATCACAACTTCAGGCAGTTGACCCGAAGTCACATTCAGGCCCCACCGGAGATCATACCCCGGGCCTTCTTCATCACCGTCATCTTCATCATTGTACATTGTCAATTATATGTGTACAGTAAGAACTAACTAAAAACACTTACCTCTGGTGTTATCATCTACTGAGGGAGATGGGTTGCTGGACGATGCAGCGGATGGGACGTTCCACCCAAGATCGTATGATGGACTGTCGTCTACCAGCCTGTTGACCTCTTTGTCCAAGTCTGCAGATCGTTCGGGTGTTGATGGTTCAGACATGCCCCAGGACTTGTCGAACATGGCTGTTGAGTTGTGTGATGTTAGGTGAGTTCAGTAGAAGCATCGATAATGACTTACCAGCCAGTTCCTGAATTGACACCTCCACCCCGGCGAAAGAGCGCTCATATTCATCAGGAGTCGAATCTCCAATGCGGCTGTCGAGAGTCTCGATCCGAGTCTCCGGACTCATGTCGTATCCTAGATCCGGTCAGCTCATTGCCCCCGAAGAACATCAGAAGATAAATGAATGGACGTACTTCTAAATTGCAGGTGCTGGAATCGCGACCGCACCCTCGGGGGCTCCCACTGGTCTATGGGCACAAAATCACCCCACCATTCTGCAAGGGATGCCTTGCATTGAACTTCGGCAGATGACTTACCAGCTGAGGCCATGTGTTGCTGAGTAGTTTCTAGAGGACTTGAAAAATGCACTCGTTGGGTTGACATTGTGTGGTCTGGCAGATGTGTGCTTGGGTTCGGGAAGGACGAATTAAATAGGGATGGCAGAAAGGTCCACTAGTGGGTCTTGTGGGTGCGGTGGTCTGGTCGTTGACACGTTGGCCAAGTCAACAATGGCACTTGATAAGGGCCGTGGCAACGGTAGCATTATTCAATATATTGGCGGTGATAGAACAATGGGCATGCGGTTCCGGCAATTCCCGCAGGCATGCTGTGGCTGCAAAGGTTGTTCCTATATATACCTCATCTGAACTTGTGCTCCGATATTTTCCTCTGAATTTTTCATTCACAATCTGAACCCGCACTTTACTCCTGCCACTTATTTTTCACAATGTCTTCCGCTCAAGATGCCAACGATGCTCTCGACCTTGTCTCTGACAAGATTGCCCGGCTGATCACCCGGTCGGAAAAGTTGAAGCAAGGTGATGCGGCTGCCAAGTCATTGGCACATGAGATTGCCATCACTTTGGTAAGTCTTCTCTTTTTTTTTCATTTTTGACTTTTGATGACCCAGTCGATCTTCTTTTCAGGTTGGTGCATTCGCCCAATATGGGAATGCTGCGACTTCCTTCGCTCCAAGGCTTCTGTCTTGCACAGCCGAGATCTGGGACAACAGCGGTCCGAATGGTAAGCTGAGGGGTCTGCCCGACTGGACGCAGATCTCGGACGACAACCCTCGCATCCGGGTTCACCCCCTTTTCCACAAGACCGTCAGCTACACCCACCCGGCTGGTCCATCGACACAGGAGGCTCGCCTGGCTTCACCCGTCCCACCAGCTACCACATCGACCTGAGAGGCGTCGATGACCCTCTCCCCCATCACTTCTCCCACACCCACACCATCACCACCACCCGCCCCTGCCCCCAAACACAATCTCTTTGTGCCGGGTACAAAGTTCAAGGCCTCGACTCCCGATCCCGAACCTTCGGCACCGGAAGGAGATGTCATCGTGGTGGTACACGCACCATTGCCGAAGAAGCTCAAGATGGAGCCAGCAGTCCGGAAGACCGCGACACTGCCGCCCTTGGTCAGCGATGAAGATGTGAGTGGTTTTTGTTTTATTCTAAAAGATCTTCCTAACTTTGCATAGTCTGCCGAGGACACGCACCCCATGCGCCTCTTCCCGACCCAATGCGAGCGGTGCATCAAGGACGACGTCCCTTGCACCGTGATGCTGGGCAAGAAGAACGGTGAGGTCCGGAAGTGCTGTCGCAACTGCGATGGCAAGAAGACCAAGTGCGTCCGTCTGTCCGCGGAGCAGCAGCGCCTTCTGCAGGCTGCCGTCGCCCTCAAAGGGGTTAAGGCTGCTGCTGCCACAGAGAAGAAGGCCCGGAATGGCACCCCGAAGAACAATGCCCCCCCTACCCAGGTAAAATACAGAACTCGGTCGAGGACACCGGTCAGCACACGTGCCACCTCCTGAATTTGCCAGGCACTCACTGCCGAAGATGATGCGGATGCGGAGGGTGATGATGATCTGGAACATGGTAAGTCGATTCCCTCATCACAACAAATCTTAATTAATTTCCTTCAGTCCCAGCCGTCGTGCTCCCGGCCCAGCCCGGTCTGGTACCAACCCCCACTGTCGACAATGACGTCAACGTCGACTTCGCTCCTCCCAACGATCCTCCGACCCGCCCAAATGTCCCTGAAGCCCGGCAGGACGTTGGCCCCAACCCATCTGTCGCACAGCCAATGGCTCTTGATATATTCAAGAGCATCGAGGCCCTCAGCCAGAAGTTCAATGCCTTGCTCAAGACATCGGACAATCGTGCAGAGGCCTTCCATCAGCAGATGGACTCTCAGGTCACTGCTTTGGACCAAGACTGGGGCAGCAGATTTGCCCTCATGGAGAACAGGCTCCGGGAGGTCGAAATCAAGACCGCCAACAACACCATGTCCATCGGACATGTCGCCAACAGCGTCAGGGGTTTGAGAGCCGGACAGCCTCTCGACACTCCTCCCGAAGGCCACCCCTTTGGCCCGATACCCCCTGCTTGGCTCGCTCTACCGCCGGGTACCCATGAGGCCATCCAATCGGTGGACCAGGGTGTCTCGGTAGTGGGGAAAGAGTGGACCACCATTTGGGATCCATCCAAAGCCAGTGGAGCACATGGCCCCGGTACCGCCTCTGCCTCCACAGTTTTTCCTGCTGGCTCTCCCACTCTGCCGAGCGGTTCTCATTTGTCCAGCATCCCCTCCACCCCCAACAAGTCCAAGAAGTAGTGTACCGGTAGTTGTCTGGTAGTTGCCCGGTAGTTTTAGTTTAATCATGTACATTCATACATCCTTTCATTGACCAGCATCAATGAAGTATACAATATGACCAGCGTCATACAAATGTAATTCTGCCCACTATTTACCGGTTGTCCATAAGCGCTGCATTCTCCAGCAGTAACTTCAGTATCATTTGTCTTTATTATCCGTCTTGTAGCAATTCCATTGCAAGTTCAACTAAGTGTGCCAGGTTCCCCAGTTCAGCCCTACCTCCCGGTCATTCATTGCCTGTGTTGTTCTCGGTAGTAGATTCACGGCCCACTTTACATCAGGTTTGGTAATTTTTACCAGTTCCATCATACCTGCCAGGCCATCAATGTTCAGTAGTGAGCTCACCTATGCTCGGCATTGGCTTCAAGTAGATTGTTTTTGTCTAGGTAGTTATGCATACATACATATTAGGTGTACACGTTGATCAGCTCTTGGTGGGCCCACCCATGTCCACCGAGATTGGAATCCTATCCCATGCATATAGCATACCATACTCGGCCCGTCCGTGTCTACCGAGATGTATGTATCATGCTGTGAATTGCATATACCTACCATACCATACTCGGCCCATCTGTATCTACCGAGTTCGCAATCCGATCCACCCCACTGGGCCCATCCGTATTTACCAAGGTCACAATCCTATTCACCTAACTGGGCCCATCCCTATCTACCAAAGTCACAATCCCATTCATCTAACTGGGCCCATCCCAATCTACCGAGTTCACGATCCTATCCACCTCACCGGGCCCATCCCAATCTACCGAGTTCACAATCCTATCCACCTCACTGGGCCCATCCCTATCTACCGAGTTCATAATCCTATCCACCTAACTGGGCCCATCCATATCTACCGAGTTCGCAATCCTATCCACCTAACTGGGCCCATCCCTATCTACCGAGTTCACAATCCGATCCACCTCACTGAGCCCATCCCTATCTACCGAGTTCGCAGTCCTATCCACCTCACTGGGCCCATCCCTATCTACCGAGTTTGCAGTCCTATCCACCTAACTGGGCCCATCCATATCTACCGAAGTTGCAATCCCATTCATCTAACTGGGCCCATCCCTATCTACCGAGTTCACGATCCTATCCACCTCACTGGGCCCATCCATATCTACACCCCGGGCCCACCTGCTTCAATCATCATGTACTTTCCTTTATCTCCAATAGCTAGCTATCATATACTACACAGCTGGCCCATTCGTCAGTGTCGGGTACCCTGATGCCTATCGGCCCATCGACTCTACTGGGGCACACCTACACCTGGGCCCATCTCGGATGGCCCGTCTCACTCGGCAGAATCTCAACTTCGGGTGTCCGTATAATATGGGAAGTATTCACTGTATTATGTGGTTACACTTACCAATAAACTTTCCACATGCTTCGTACATAGCCCTCACTTTACTGACTGATTTACTTACATGATACCTACAGTATATAAACTCCTGTAATACTCCGGAACTCCTCAGTTCGAATATCATCTTAGTTCTGCTCATTCCTGCAATCTCCAGACTTGAGTCTCATCTCTTGTCCACCTCCGAGTCTTAGGGGTTAAACCTTAGGACTGGGGATCGGAAGAATGTAGGAATGGAGGAACGACAGAACAGCGGAACCAGCGGGACGGAGGAATGGGGAAGCGGGGAAGCAGAGGGTCGGAGGATCAGACGACAGCCGACCTAGGGAGTCAATCCCCTAGGCCGGGGAACAGGAGTTTTGACTTGGGAAAGACTTTTAAGTCAAAGGACAGAAGAGCAGGGCTTAGAAAAGGTAATATTCAGACTGAGTATCTACAGACAAAGGTACATAGGTTTATATACTCTAAGTAAGGAGCGTAGCATAGCAGAAGGCTATGTGCTGAGTGTACAGGATTACAATGGGATGACTGAGACATACGAGAATGAGGCTCGGAGAAAAGTATGTACACGATGGATCAGACTCGCTAGGGTATAGGGATTACTGGGGATCCGAAAAGCGGAACTATAATACTAAACGGGGATAGGACCAGTTGAGTGGTTCCTAGTCTAGGAGTGGACCGGTGAGGTGGTCGGACGGACTAATGGTCGGGCGGGTCAATACAAGTGGAACCGAAGGATCTGAGAGGGGAGGAAAAGCAGAGGGAGTAGGAGTAGGATCAGGCAGACCGATAGGGCGGAGGAGCGGAACCCCAGATAGGGTCGGATGGAAGGGGTATGGTGTCGGAGGACATAGGGGTAATGTCGGAAAAGTGGAACAGAGTCGGATGGAGGTAGCAGGGCTAATCCTACTGAGATGCACTTCATGCATTATTGGGGAAGGAGGAATGAAGTGGACGGGGAAACAGGGGGTCGGGCCAGCAGTGGGGATGCTCATAGGAGGTACTGGGGGTACTTGGATCCGGTATATGACACCTCCGGACTTCTGCTGAACTCCACCGACGCTTGTCCTCCGGAACTCCCCGGACTTCCGTCGGACTTCCCCTCTGCCCCTTGGAAATTAAGGGCACGTACTTGGGTAAGGGGCGCAGCGCACGAGCTGAAGCCGAAACCCTTTCAGTAACTTTCCCCTTGAGCACGACCTTAACAGTTTATGAGGGTAAGTTACACTGGACATGTGCCTTCTCCTGGCACTCCATTTATTATGTGATATGAAGGCATTGAATGGGCGGTATTACAGGGCCAGGCTGGCGCATTTTTGTAAGGTGAGATCAGTGGGGAAGGGGGAATGACAGTGGGGTACTATAGAACCACCATCTCGGTGAATTTTGTGGCCCAGCTGGGAAGCCAGTGTTATGCTTGGTGTCGGCTAGACGTCTTAGTAAACAAAAGTAATCAAAAGTTCTAGTAGCACCCTAGTGCTAAGTCGTGCAAGTAAAGCAGAGTAGATTGCAGGCCCTGGTCTGTGTAGGTCAAGTTAAAGAGTACAAAGGTAAGATGACGGTTTAAATAGAGAGATTAAAGCGGAGTCTGAATATATAAAGAGAAAAAGAAAGTCGTACGATGATATCACAGCGAATGAGAAAAGAGCAGAGAAGAATTGTACAATAGAACGAAATAGAACATCATAGAAGGATTAGTAAGAAAAAGAGAACTGTAACATTACCCCCGCTGTAAGGGTAGTAGACCACAAATACTACAAAAGAAAAAAGGAAGATCAAAGACGATGTGCATGTTTGTAAGAGAGAAGAATGTCAGAAGCGTTACCCATTTGTTTCCCTGTCATCCATTCGTTCTCGGAACTCGGGAATCCCTTCCACTTAACGTTATAATATCTTCATGAGGCAGAGCCTCGATGACCAACAATGGCCTCTATTTCTTGTTCTTCTTCGCCGTTGATAAGATCAGGTGGTGGTGCGATGAAGTTAGGACCATGGGTATCGTTTTCTTTATAGGGGGATAAGAGGACGGCATGGAAGACAGGGTGTATGTGCCATTGCACGGGAAGTGAGAGGCAATAAGTGACTGGGGATAGGACATTGGAGATGGTAAATGGTCCTCGTTTGGGTGTGAGTTTATGATTAGGATATCTGAGATGGAGGTTTTTGGACTCAAGCCAAACCTTATTGCCTTTGTTGAATGGGATGAACTTGGACGTGATTCATTGTCTCATGGTATTGCGCGCTAGTTCGTGGGCGGCTAAAGCTTCATCACGAGTTTTGTAAAATGAGCAAGTACTTTGCATGGACTCACAAAATTGGGATGGCACTTGCCTCTGGCATGCGGAAGAGCCTTGGTTTCCTACTTCACATCAATAATAATCATTGGATAGCCATTGTTCTCAACTTCATGCACAGTCAAATCCTTGTTGGTGACTCATTTCAACACAATCTTGATCCAGCTGTTCTTGATATCCTGTCATGGTGGACACATCATCATACATCTTGCACATTCACGACAACAATATTACCCACCACAGTTCAACACAATATATTCTCATGTGGGGTACTTGCATTCAATGCTTTGGCACACTACTTCCTCCCAGCAAAATACAATCTCATCAACTCAAATGCCATCCGAGATGAGAGGTTGAGAGTTCTATTAGAGGTTGTCAAGCACCATTCAGACCAGGTAAGCTTACTAGATCTTACATCCAGAGTTTGACATCTACAAATATGAATTAGACATTTAGAGGCATTGCCCATGATTTTCGCTTCACATTTTCAACACCTGAGCCACTGCTGCACTCTCCTGATCATGATACCAACTTCTCACCTGACAAGGACATTTCAAGTTCCATCAAAAGTGATGGCGATTCCTTCGACAGCAGTATGAGGTCTCAATCATCAACACCTCCTGTCAGTTTTCAAAAAACGAAGGCCTTGACAAAAGAGTATTGTCAGTCTGCGATCCAAGAGGCTATCAAAGAGCAGAAGGCTGGACAAGCACGAGGACTGATGAAGTTTCTAAAGCCATGCACACCAGAAGAGTTACATGCTCAGCTAAAGGTGGTCGAGGCAAAGTTGGACGATGGGTGGCAGCAGGCAGCGGAATTTCGAGCAATGACTGATGAGAGATGACAAATGAGTGTATGAGAGGGCAACAAAGAAAGACAAAGAAAGTACTGTCAGAAGATACGCGACATTGAAGCGGTACAGGGCAAGTGAACACCTGAAGGTACCACACATAATCTTAAGGTTTGTCAGTCAGATTTTTCGCCTATCTGCAACAAAACTCACATATTTCAGCGTCGTACATTAGACATGACACTTCTAGAAGACTGATCACCTAAGCGATCTAGTTCATTGATTGCGGAGTTAACAAGGCCTGATTGAATGGTTAAAGAACATCAGCATCAGCATAAGAAGCATTCTCAAGGTTGCAAGCACATCCACAAGAAGCAGGACACAGTGTACCACAACTGGCACAGACCTTTTACATGGGTGCAGATTGATAATGCTGCCAAAAATCCGTCAGTTGCCTGGAGCTCAACACAGATTGTTCAGTATCTGAAGAAGAAAGATTTGGTGACTTTCAAAGGTCTTGCAAGGTCCACAGTCAAGGGCTGGATCGATTGCAGTGGCAAGCCCAAATGGACTGAAGCTGCAATTCGGATGGCAAATCTGGGCAATCATCAAGGACATTCCAATGGAGGTAAAAAAGGGATTTTCGTATGTGCTATCAATATCACTGGCCTGAAATGATGCTGATTAGTTCAATTAGATGAAGTATCCAGCTGCTGAGAAGGCAATCGTCAAACGGCTTGAAGCTCTTCGCGATGCTGGAGCTGTACTTACTCTCATTACAATCTGAGGAATCATCATTGCAATCCTCTCCGATATGGCACCAGACATCTTTGAGCACCAAGCGAAGGATGGCTCAAAGTTCCAGTGTTCAGATGCATTTGTGTGACATTGGTTGCATGAAACCTTGCACTGGTCTGAGAGATGCACAACACGAGCTGCCCAAAAAACTCCAGATAACTGGGAAGACTTATGCGAGCAAGCCTTCCTTCGACTAGCGTACATCATCAAAGAAGAGGACATTCCATCTGATCTCTACGTCAATACCGACCAGACCCAAGTTGTCTACGCACAAGGGTCTAACCTTATGTGGGCAAAGACCGGTGCCAAGCAGGTCTCTGCAATCGGTAATGACAAAAAATGTGCATTCACAGTTGTCGTCTTGGTTGCCAATGATGGCACAATGCTTCCGCTGCAAGCAATCCACCAAGGGCACTCAAAAATGTCGTGTCCAAATCCATCAGCTGCGAACTATGAAAATTGCATCAAAAAAAAATTCATTTCAAGTTATCAAATACGAAAACATACTTGTCGACACAAGCAACAATGCATACCCTGGTTGACGAGATCATTGCCCCATATTTTGAGAGGAAGAAACAAGAGCTCGGCTTACCGCAAACACAAAAATCAGTGTGGCAAATTGACGCATGGTCAGTTCATCGATCCCTTGAATTCAGAACATGGTTAAAGGAGAACCATCCAATGATCATGCTGAACTTTGTACCTGGAGGGTGCACAGGCCTGTTTCAGCCTTGTGATGTTGGAATGCAGCGAGTTTTCAAGCACTCGTTAAAGCAATCGTACCATAGTGATGTCGTGCAGGAGATATCACAACTGTTAGGTACTGTGCCAACTCAGGAAGAAGAGGGGTCGGGGCAGGGCTTCAGCTCTTGCGCTGCGCCCTTAGCCGAGTACGTGCCCCAATTTGGAGCAGGTCCGACGTTGTCTGACGATAGGACGAGTGGACCACTTAGGTCCGCTTTGAGGGTCAGGAGGTAAGAGCTACTAGCGGAGGACCGACTAGGAGTGGAGCAGAGAGGATGGAGGATAGTGGGGAGGGTGGAGAGGAGCAGGGGGAATACTTGATAGGAGCAGAGGAGGTGGAGGATAATGCGGAGGGTGGAAAGGAGCAGGGGGAATACTTGATAGGGGCAGAGAAGTCAAGAGAAGACTTAGAGCACAGCTCTAAGTCGGAGCGGAGGGTCAGAGGTGACAACAAGATGAAACTTGTGTCCAGAGGAGGCAAGGTCCTACTGAGAATTCTCACAAGTAGTAACTGCGAGAAGACAAGTAATATTAAGACTGGGGAAAATATCTAAGTACAGGATATGTTATATACTTCTATGTATGAGGCAGTGATCAGGATAACTATGTTGTAAAGCTATGTACCAAGGATATAGTTTGTAAGTACTTTACACAGGCAAAGACATAAGTTGGAGCGGATATCGATATGTATGCATCAGATCAGTGATTGAGCGGTAATAGGAATTACCAGTGATCCGGAAGTAAGGGTCTATGTACCAAAGGGGAAAGTATATATCTAAAAGGGGAAAGAGGTTCCAGTTGAATGGAGACATTACGGAAGGGGACCGGTTGGGTGGTCAAGCGGAAGTGTAGGGGTGGATGCAGATAATGATTGGACGGAGTGGAGAATGGAAGGAGCAGAGGTGGTCGGAAAGTGGAGCAGATATTGATATCGGAGTGGTTGGATCAGGTATATGACAACAACAGCTCACACATGACAAGGAGAACTTGGTCATTGACAAGCGAGTTGCCATTATGCGTGATCGAAGTGTTACATGGCTGTGGGACGCATTCAAGACTGTGGGGAAACCCATCATTGTGAAGAAGGTAAGAAAGAAAAAAGATGACTGGCACATACTAAATCATGATTGCAGGCATTCGAAATGTGTCGTGTTTGCGAATTTAACTTGTTGTATGAGAGCCTTACTGGCTTTGCTGCATGAGACAAGTTGCGACAGTTGAAATCAGAAGACTCTCAATTTTGGGAAGAACTTACCAAAGTGAATCCTCAAGAAATGACGGACACTACAAACGCAAACGAAGATATTGAGACGGAGGTGGACCTCTATGATGACACATCATTGGACAACACCAATGTCCCATGCACAGCTGTCATTGCTGATATGATGGGTGCTGGTGTTGCAGCTGGTATTGAGGGGGTTGACAGGAGGCTCAGTTCAAAGATGGTCGCAGAGAGCTTAGAGTTTGAAGGTGGTGATACACAAATTGTCCAGCCTGAGAACAACCATAGTGAGGTTGGCACTGATGTGGCAGGGGAGTTAGGGCGGGGATGTCATATACCAGATCCAAGTACCCCCAGTACCACCTATAAGCATCCCCACCCCTGTTCCGACCCCCTGTTTCCCTGTCTGCTCCATTCCTCCTTCCCCGACAATGCACGAAGTGCATCTCAGCAGGATTAGCCCTGCTACCTCCACCCGACCCCATTCCGCTTTTCTGACACTACCCCTATGTCCCCCAACCCCATACCCCTTCCATCCGACCCTATCTGGAGTTCCGCTCCTCTGCCCTATCGGTCTGCCTGATCCTACTCCTACTCCCTCCACTTTTCCGACCCACGGGGGTCCTTCAGTTCCACTCGTATTCCCCCACCCGACTGTTAGTCCGTCTGACCACCTCACCGGTCCACTCCTAGACTAGGAACCACTCAACTGGTCCTATCCCTGTTTAGTATCATAGTTCCGCTTTTCAGATCACTGGTAATCCCTATACCCTAGCAATTCTGATCCATCGCGTACATACTGTTCCCCGAGCCTTATTCTCGTATGTCTCAGTCATCCTATTGTAATCCTGTACACTCAGCACATAGCCCTCTGCTATGCTATGCTCATCACTTAGAGTATATAAACATATGTACATTTGTCTGTAGATACTCAGTCTGAATATTACCTTTTCTAAGCCCTGCTCTTCTGTTCTCTGACTTGGGCCTGATCCTAGTCAACTCCTGTTAAAGCTGGCCTAGGGGATTGACTCCCTAGGTCGGCCATCCTCCGTTCCCCCGTTCCCCCATTCCCCCATTCCCCCGTTCCCCCATTCCCCCATTCCTCCGTCCCTCCGCTCACCCGACTCCCCGTGCATCGGAACTAGACCCCACACCCTCACATCCATCCCCTCCGTTCCGCTCTGCTTCGGACTTCGTCCAAGCAGTTCCTTCCACTCCGCTTCTACTGTTGGTTCTGACCACAGTAGTCTCCCGCCTCCCTCCTGTCAGGCAGAACAACCCCCGCCCAACTTCCCACACTCACCTAGTAGTCCGTCGGTCCTCCTTCAGGGGACCCCTGTTCTGACGTCCTGTCGGAACCCATAGAACTCGCATCAGACTACACCCCGAAATTAGGGGCACATACTCAGGTAAGGGGCACAGTGTACGAGCTGAAGCCAAGCCCCTCAGACTCCGCTTTACCCCTGAGCACGGTCTTAACAGGGGAAGAAGAAACAAGAAGGCCAATACTCTGTATTCCCACACATTCTGACGCCATCATGATGATGGCTAGATTTGAGTACTGAGATGAGAAATATAGTGATGGGGTAGTTAATTAAGTATTGGCGGAAGCAAATTCTGTTCCCGAAAAATGAATTTGACAAGCTGAAATGTTATGTGTAACATAGGGCTAATTTCGACGCCGACATGACCTTCTGTGACATGTGACTATTGAATTGAATGAAATTGTACAGTAGTACTTCAGCAACCTCACATCTCTAGCATTTCCTCAATGTACTCTGCTCCTCCATTGTCCGTCCTCAAACCTTTTGGTATAGAACATCATTATACATATTTTCGTCGGACCGTAGTACTGCTTTAGTGCCGGAGGACAGGCGCTTGCAATGCTGTACAATACAAATGTTGAGCAATCCTCAAGTGTGGTTAGGCGATGGATGTATAGGTCATCATATAAATTTGTGCATTGTACTGTGAGTTTAGTATTATATTCCCAAAACATGAGTTTTCACCAGTGGAACAGTTCTGCAGCTTCTGCTATCCCTTCGGCATCTCAGACAGGACTGAAATCCTGCGTGTCCGAGCATGTGCCAGCTCATTTGACCAGTATAGCTAATCAGATTGCTCGTTGTCACGGTCATGGTCACTGTACATAGCTCACAGCCATTCTATTTAGCTCATGGTCACTCCACTATACCAAACATTGCGCTGATGTACTCCGTCATGCACCACAAGATCCTGTAGAGTAATGCATTAAAACAGCTAAGTATCAGTAGGTGGTGATGCATGGGGAATGCTAAGTGTGGGCTGCATTACCTTCTCACCCAAACTGGCAGTGTAATCACCTCCTCATGTTAGGCCTCTCCACACTATTCCCACACATTACATTTCCGCATTTTTCAATCACACAGTGTGGGAATTACCCCACAACACCCAAAACATCACCCAATATGGTATACCCCACAATTTCAATTATTCCCACACCCTCCCCACCTCACTGCAGCTTCACCACCACACCACAATAGCTCCCCCTGTATATATATGTATAATACAATATAATAGACCGCTTTTTTTTGTTTATTTGTGTGCCTGCTCCTGCTCCAGGGGCCATTCAAAATAAGGTAGGGTACAAAACACTTTCGCATTTTTGCCCATTTGATATGGAAGTGTTCCAGGGCATCCAGAACATGTTTAGGAGCATACATGAAGAGATTACCATCTTTATTTGACCCCCTGAAGCGCCCTACATCAATAGGTACAGTTAGACACCATGTTGTGACTTGGGGGTAAGTGATATCAAGGCTAGAATTAGGCAAAAACATTCCTTTCTTTTCTAGCACTACAGAAGAGGAGATTATAAGCTTCACTATTGCCATCCATTTGGCCTCAGATGATTAATTCCAGTTCTATCTGCTAATAGTATAATTTTTGTTCAGCTATTCATAGTACAGCACTAGTGATACATAGCAGTGTTTACTCTTACTTCTATAGTGCTCAATAGAAAGGGATGTTTTTACATAATTCTAGCCTTAATATCACTTACCCCCAAGTCACAACATGGTGTCTATGGTGTAATAAGCTACTTCTAGATATTATACAGTCTTTTTGTCACTTGAGCAGCATTTGCAGGCTTGTCAGTACTGTTTAAGCAAATAGCATACTAAATAGTAGAGGTAAAAAGCATAGAATGGTGATCACCAATGAATTTCTGAAGGCTTGTATAGTGTCTACAGTAAATTTTATTAATAATACTTTAGTGGACACAAGTATAATGTGAGATATTCTATAAAAATTTGGTTGAATTGTGTAGAAAGAGTGTTGAATTGATTTTTGTATCTCCGCTCCATGACATCA